ATATGGCAAAGCAATATAGCTTCACAATAAGCGCCAAAAACTTTTCAAATATCGTTTGGTCTAATCACAGTACCTATATTAACAAACGGATTGAGGGACTAAGGACCCTACCCTCCGAGTCAACCCCACCCCTCAAATGATCAATGTCGTAACTAAATCAAACATTTACAGTATGCACTTTGTGAGGTAAAATGAATCTAGAGATGCTGGTCCTCATCTAGTCTAGTTAATAAACTAATCTTCCAACTCTAGGGTCAACCTAAGGAAAAACATAGAACTGTCAATGCCTTGAATCTGACATTCTCCTTTAGACTTTATTTCTTTACAAAGTAATTTATTTTTATATTACAACTCATTACTATTATTTATTGAATGATTTATCCTAATGTTAGTTTGAATGACCAAATTTTATGACATAACTTACGAATTTTATAAGTAAGAAAATTTGAAAAATAAGCAAAAGGTAAACACAGGAAGAACGCATTAACACACAGAGGAAGAACGCGACCGAATCTATTTTTTGTGTAATGTTGATTGATGCAACACAGAGCTTTCAAAACTGTACTTTTGATCATATGTTAGTTTAACAGTGTTAAGTTTTACTTTCATTGCATCCTTTACTGTTTTATGTACAGTGTATTTTTATTTATCATAAGTATTTACAATTGCGTGCAGTCTATAATTAAAATGTGTTGATCATTTATAATGTGTTATTCAATAACAAAGGTGTTTTTATAATATGAACTGACTTTTGCAATAATGTACCTGTATGGAATTTTTGATTAATAAAGTGAAAAAATCCATTTAAAGTTTTAAAAAAATGTGTCTTAATCATTCACATTCAAATCCTATTTTAAAAGGTGATCCTTTATTCCTGAGTTAAAACTTGTTAAACTTTATATTATTTAATAGTAGTCCTTTGGAATTTGACTCATTTCAACGTTATTATGTACTCTGCATGAGATTTTTATTTTAATAAGGATTGTTTTTAGTCAGTGATGTACACCTAGCTATAGAACTTGAATGTTCTACAGAGATGTCATTAATGTTTTATAATATTGAAGGAGATCCTGACTCACTTTTCATCTTCACTCGTTATTTAAATGTGTTTATGTAACAAAACTCACATGGATAAAAGTATGATAATACAATAAGGCATGAAGTATGATCACCATTTTTAACTGATATGTATGTGGTCTTGTTTTTATTAAATTTCTCGTCTGTTTGTTGAGTATGTGACATGTAAAGAACTGAAGCAAGCATAATTTTGTTCACACGGTCGTCTTACATGTAAAACGAAAGTAATTTTAGAACAACTAAGCAATATTTTAGAACTACACTACCGACATAACAACTTAGCTAAAGCAGCATCTCGATAAAGTATGATTAAACATGCATGAGAAATTATATCTAAATTGATATACCAACTTTCCAACTATTGACAATAAGCTCCATTGTAAAGGACAGTAAAACCTGTTCAAAAGTATGGGGGAGGCAGAATAACATGAGTACATTTCCTACATGTAGGACACTAAATTATGTAAGGGGGGGAGCACATTTCCAATCATGCATCACCTCCCTTCTTTGCTGACGCCACTTTTGACTAATCTCTGTGTGTCCCAGCAAAATCTTTATAGTTGCATACAACAAACCATTTCTTTTATAAGTAAAGAAGTTTGAAAAATAAGCAAAAGTTAAACACAGGAAGAATGTGTTTAGACAGAGAAAGTACGCAACCGAATCTATTTGGGGAAATGTTCATTCATGCAACACAGCGAGCTTTTAAAATTATACTTTTGATCATGTTTCACAGTTTTAAGGTTTACTTTCATTGCAACCTTTACTGTTGTATCCACAGTGTCTTTATTGATCATAAGTAATTATAATTGCGTGCAATTGATGTTTGCCATGTATTCATAATTTACAATGGTTTATTAAATAACAAAGGATTTTTAAAATAAGAACTGACTTATGCAAAAATATACATGTATAGAATTTTTCATTAATAGAGAAAAATAATCCATCCGCAGTTGCGAAAATCGTGTCTTAATCATTTCCATTCAAATCCTGTCTTAGATAGACGATTTTCTATTCCTGAGTTAAAACTTGTGAAATTTTACAAGATTTGGCAGTAGTCCTTTGGAATTTGACAAATCTCAATGTTATTATGTACTCTGCATGAGGTTCTTATTGATGTAAATTTATTTCTATAATAATTGTTTTTAGTCAGTGATGTATACTTAGTTATATAACTAGAATGTTCTACATAGATGTCAATAATGTTTTAGAATACTGTTTGTTGATAGAGATCCTGAATCACTCTTCATCTTCGTTCGTTGTTTAAAAGTGTTTATGTAACAAAACTTACATGGATAAAAGATTGATGTAACAATAAGGAATGAATTATGATCACCATTTTTAAACTGATATGTATGTGGTCGCGTTCTTTATATTAAATCTCTCAACATTGTAAGGTATGTGAAATGTAAAGAACTAAAGGAAACATAATTTTGTCTACACGGTCGTCATGTATGAAGTCTTATTTCTAAAACGTAGGTAATTTGTCGAAAGTAAAGCGAGATTCTGAAACTATATTACTAACTTTAAATAACAACTTTGCTACTGAATCATCTCGATAATGTATGACTAAACATGCACGAGAAATCATATCTAAATCAAAATACCAACTTTCTAACTATTGACAATAAGCTGAATGGTAAAGGAAAGCAAAACCTGTTCAAAGGTATGGGAGAGGTGAAATAGCATACTTGTCTATGGAAAAATTGGCAATCTGTGAAAATTTATGTAGGGAGGATAGCATGTCCAATCATGCATCACCTACATTTTGTTAGACTAATCGCTGTGTGTCTAACAAAATGTTGTTAATTGTATTAAGCAAACCATTCATTTAAAAACTAAGAACATTTGTAAAATAAGCAAATGTTGAACACAGGAAGAATGCATTTACACAGAAAAAGAACGCAACCGAATCTATTTTTGTGAAATGTTGATTCATGCAGCACAGTGAGCTTTCAAATTTTTACTTTTGATCATGTTTTACAGTTTTAAGGTTTATTTTCATTGCAACCTTTACTGTTGTATCTGGGCAAATACATTACTTTACGTCAATAAGTACGCGACGAATGCTTGACGTTTCAAACAATATTTTGAATGTTGCAGTTAAAAATACTTCTTAAATAGTTCACTACAACTTCAAGCACAACCGTTGTTTTAATAATAAAGTGTAAATTTACTGCTTTTAGTTTGAAGTTGATTTATAAAAACAAGTTGCGTTTAAATCTTCAAAAATTTGTCGTCTAATGCACAAAGAGAATGATTAAATATTGAAATCTGTCACTTTTACATACTCCGTACACACTAACAAAGCAGCATGACAACACTCATTCTGGTTGATGATTTTTAGTTCAACGCAGATTTCTATGCTGTATTGATAATGTTTCTTAAAGCCCGGCGCACACGAGAGCTATGTGCTTAGCAAAATGTCATTCGTGTCAAATGGCACGAGCAAGTTGCTCTCGTGTGCGCGTACTGTTTCCGACGACTTTTGCCTTTCCTGGCAGAACTGGCAAATATCAAACATGTTTGATATTTTTTGCCACGCGTGGCGAAATGCTTTGTCGATTTGTCCGTGTGCGGCGTTGGAAGCAATTGCTTTGTGTTTTCATCACAGCGCATGCTCAATAAATCTCATATCAACAAAATGGTTTCAATGAGTTAAATTCTGTGTCATTTTCTGATTCCGAAGAACAAGACGAAATAGCACTTTTATGCCTGTCATAATCCACCGCTTCGTCCATGTTTTACGACAAGAAGCTGGTAAACGCCTGCGTCTACGGCGAATTAGCAACAGGCATAAAAGTGCTATTTCGTCTTGTTCTTCGGAATCAGAAAATGACACAGAATTTAACTCATTTGAGGAAGCCGCCATTTTTGTTTGATATGAGATTTATTGAGCATGCGCTGTGATGATAACACAAAAGCAATTTGCTTCCAGACGCCGCACACGGACAAATCGACAAGTGTGCGCCGGGCTTAAGACGCAGAAACCTGAATAATAAACTGAAAAGTGTTCTCGAGTCGGCATTCCGAGAAGGCAATGTGAAAAATATGTTCCCATTAAATCAAAACACAAACTCTATTGCATTTGAGTTGATCAAGAGCTACAATCGCTAGACAGTTAAGACTCTATATCCAAGCCCTAGACAGTTAAGATTCTATCTCCAGGTCATTTTGCCAAAATAACCTAAATGCAGCCTTTTCCATAGTACGCAAATATCTTAAATGGTTATTAATACAAACCTATCTGAACACAGAAAGAATGTATTTACACAGAAAAAGAACGCAACTAAATCTATTTTTGGGAAATGTTGATTTATGCAACGCAGTTAGCTTTTAAATTTATACTTTTGATCATGTTTGATTAATTTTAAGGTTTATTTTCATTGCAACCTTTACTATTGTATCTACAGTGACTTTATTCATCATAAGTAATTATAATTACGTGCAATTGATGTTTTCCATGTATTCATAATTTACAATGGGTTATTTAATAACAAAGGGTTTTTTTTAATAAGAACTGGCTTATGCAAGAATATACATGTATGGAATTTTTGATTAGCGAAGTGAAAAATCGATTTAAAGTTTCAACAATTGTGTCTTAATCATTTACATTCAAATCCTGTTTTAGAAAGGTGATCCTTTATTCCTGAATTTAAACTTGTTAAACTTTGTATTATTTAAAGTAGTCCTTTGGAATTTGATCATTTCAATGTTATTATGTACTTTGCATGACGCTCTTATTTATGTATTTTTATTTCTATAACCGTTGTTTTTAGTCAGTGATGTATACGTAGTTATATAACTAGAAAGTTTTACAAAGACGTCAATAATGTTTTATAATACTGTTTGTTGAAGGAGATCCTGACTCACTCTTCATCTTCGTTCACTATTTAAATGTGTTTATGTAACAAAACTTACATGGATAAAAGATTGATGTAACAATAAGGTATGAATTATTTTCATCATCAATGATCATCATTTCTAAACTGATATGTATGTGGTCGCGTTCTTCATATTAAATCTTTCATCTTTTGTTAGGTATGTGACATGTAAAGAACTAAAGCAAGCTCAATTTGGACGATGAGGTCGTCAGATATGAAGTCTTACTTGTACAACAAAGGTAATTTTACAAAAGTAAAGCGAGATTTATATGCACATTACGGACCTAATAAATTAGCTAAGGAAACATCTAGATGAAGTATGAATGAACATGCATGAGAAATCATATCTAAGTTGATATACCAACTTTTGAACTATTGAACATATACTGCATGGTAAGGAAAAACAGTGAAACCTGCTCAAAAGTATGAGTAGGAAGAATATTATGAGAATATTTTTTACATGTAGGACGCTGAATTTTCTTTTCTTACCTTTGCATCCAACTTTAGTGGATACAGTTTCTGAAGAGGCCTGCTTATGTACAATAACTTTCCCTTGCTAACAACTTTGACTTGCCTTCTCTGACTATATTATCTTTCCCCTTTTTCAATCTCTCAATTCTTGCTATTTTCCAAAATCCTCTTTTCAAGCTTTTCTCAAACACAAGAACTATATCACCTACTTTTAGACACAAACAACCCTTTACTTTGCCAACCTTATGACACTCAATTATACTTGTTAAGTAATCCTTCCTCCACCTGGTTCAAAAATGATTTCTCAGTCTCGCTAAATACCTAAACCTACGCTTGACCACTCCCGCATCTTCGTCATTAATAGTATGCAGAATTCTTTCGTCTGGAATAGATGTTAATCTTCTTCCAAACATAAGATGAGCAGGAGTCAGTACATCTACATTCACTTCATCTTCAAATACATAAGTCAACGGTCTAGAGTTTAACATACCTTCTACCTCAACTAATGTTGTTAACAATTCTTCCTTGTTCAGTTTAACGTTACCCAACACTTTCCTCAGACAACCTTTCCCCAATACTGCCATTCTTTCAAAAACTCCACCCCACCAAGGTGTCCTCGCCAAATTAAACTTCCATATCAACTGATTGTCTTCCAATCATGATTTTACCTCCTTACTTCCATAAATCCCCTTCAACGCTTTTTCAGTTGCTTTAAATATTTTGGCGTTGTCCTAAACTATTACCAAGGGTGCTCCCATTCTAGCAGTAAATCTTAGCAAACAATTCAAAAAACAACGATCGCCAAAGTTCACTTTCCTTGAATTGTGATGCCGTAAATCCCCATAAACCTAAGTCCGCAGGATTGTCTACACCCGGACAATGTTTCCAATTATCCTACCTGCTCAATCTTAAAATCTCGTTAACTCTATGGCGCACAAACTGTTTCCATTCTCCCCTATTACCGATCCAGCACAATGCAGTCTAACTGTCCAACCAACAGTATGTACGATGAAATTTAACGTACCCATCTAAGGCCAACTTCACTGTGTCCATCAACTGTGCTAATATTCTAGCTGACATCAGTTCTATTCTGGGAACTGTCTGCAATTTTATTAGCACTATCCTTGTTTTCGACGTAAGCAACTCTACGTGGTAGGCACCGTTTAGCTCTGTCACAAAACATACAACCGCACAGTTTGCCTTTTGGCTGGCATCTGCGTACCCATGCAAGTAACACTTTACCTTACCAAGTAAATTACCATACACACATCTCGCCACAACTAAATGCCTGACTCTCTCTAAATCTACTATCCACCTCTCCCAACATTTTTTTTGTCACCTTCCAGCTCATTATCCCATTCACAGTTCTTAATACATAGCTCATGAAACAATAACTTATCAAAAACTACAAGTATACTTAGTATATTTCTTTTACTTGGAATGAATGGTTTTTCTCTTTTAGCCAATTTCCAGAGGCTAAATACAAAGCGATCCGACTTACACTCCCATCACAATCCTAGTACTTTCTCAAAACTTCCACTGATACTATTTTCCCCAACTGATGCTTTGGCATAAGTTTGCTCATCAACCACTTTCGAACTACTAAATTCTGCCCTTCTTTTCTCTAAAATGCTTCTTTCTCTCGTTTCTATTTCTTCCAAAACATTCTCATCATTACTTAGCCACTTCCTAAGCCTAAATCCTCCTGCAGCCAATCGCTCACTTGCTGACTCATACAACCTCATTCCTTTCTTCTTGGATTGTTCACTGGACACTAGCTCATTGACATAAATGCTATCTTTGACTTTTTTAACAAATTCCTTGTCCATCTCTATGAGTGAGTCTAAATTATACTGCTGTGTTGCATTCAACAAAAATGGAGAGCAGTTAACACAAACACTACTCTACAAAAAGGTAATCTACAGGTTTCAACCTCTCATTGTTTACATCATCAACCCATAAAAATCTTAGGCAATCTCTGTCCAAAGTATCAACTTCTATATTCAAAAATGCCTTTTCAATGTCTGCCACTAAAGTGACTGTCTTCTCTCTAAACCTTATCAAAATATGAAAGAGCAATGGTGCTAATTTGGGTCCCCCATGCAAGCAGTCATTGAGCGAGGAAACCTTGGATGAGTCTTTACACGACGCATTATAAACAACTTTTACCTTCGTTGTTTTTGCTTCCCTGCGAGTAACCGCATGATGTGGTAAATAATGTATTTTATCAGCTTGCTCTAGTTCTATTATTGGTTCTATAATACCCCTCCTCGATTGATCTTGGATTGTCTTATCATACTCTTCTAAAATTTCTGTTCCCTTTTCAGCCGTACTAAGTGGATTGTGTTCCCCAAGACAATAAACGCATTTTCTTTTCGCTTTACCGTTCCTTGACTCCTCGTTGCAACTCTCGTGCTTAACATGAAGTGTTGATGCTGAACCCATATGTCTTTGTCGCGACGTTTCTCGTTGTTTCTCCCCATCCTGTCTCTTGGTTTTCTCACCGATCGGTGTGTGAGCTTCTCGAAGCTCCAACTTTTTTTTCTTTCAACGCATCTTTCATTGACCAATCCGTGAGATCGAACCTCTTGTTATTGTCAATCGAAATGCGTCCGGCAACTTCGCAACGACTTCAGGTACTACGATTGAAGAATATACGGCTTCGTGTACTCCTAAGGCCTTTAAACCCCGGTAGCTTGTCTCGCAGGTGTCGTATAACCGCCGAAGCTTGTCGATATTTCCTCCTCTGTTACGGGTTTTATGTTCATTAACTCCTGGATATGCGCTTTCTTGATCACGTTCTTTTTCCCGCATCTTCGTTTCAACTATTCTCAGTTTGTAATAATTCGCTGAAGTTAGGGCAAAACCTAATATTGTTGATCTTGTAGGTTCCAGTAGAAGACTCCTTAAATATGCAAACTTGCCTTCGTCAGCCAATCCGTCATTATTATTCACCGCACTATCAAAAGAATCCCAAAACTCTTGCCATTCTTGCAGCTGTCCGCTAAATTTCTGTACTTCCAACTTTGGGAGTTTTGCTTTTATAACTCCGCGCGTCTCACTATTCAAACTGCTGTTCAGCGTGCCATTTAATGTCGTTGTTGCCGTTTCAACTGGGACATTAGACTCCTTGACGATGTCGTTCACATCCAAAAATCCTTGCTCGAGTTCTGCCCGTATCTTGTCCGCATCTTCAATTTTTTTTCCCAATTCTTCTTCCTCATTTTCCTCATTGCTTTTGTTCAGCATATCGACAATCGCGTCATCAAGGATTTTCAATGTTGCGATCTTGTCGTTCAATCCATCTCGTAGTTGTCTCAGTTGGTTTCTATCGATCTCACCGTCCGTTTCTCGTATTTTCTCTTTTAATTTACTAGCAATTTTCCTCGCTGATCCTCTTTGTCCTGCTCGCATTCGTTTCTTTCTCATAAATTCATCCATTATGCTATTGGACTAGCAAACTTCAATTTCCAAACAAATCTCCAACTAAAATATCTCCGACTCGAAGACCACGTGTAGCAATTTTCACCATTGTGCGTTAGCACAAAGCAGTTATGCGTCTGCTGATTCGTTTTTGGGACTGTATACTATCCTACTGTACGCGAAGTCGACACACAATTCTAAATTTTACTCAATATAACTATTCTGCATCACAGATAATCTTAAACATTTCAAGCTTTTACATTCACAGCCAGCGACAGAAGAACCTTGACTTTTAACGTGTCACAACTAATAAAGTATTAACATAAGTTCCTATTTCCGTTCTTCCATAAGTTTCAGGTATCAAATAACAATTATCAATTACTTATTTACATAAGTTCCTACAATTAGATTTCAAATACATATTCCATTATGGTGCAGTCAATATTGAAGCAAAGAATTAAACCTATTTGAGGAAATATTTTTCATTGGCCTTATAGTCGTTTCAAATTTACAACATACACGAAAAAAACACACATTAAGGTACGCTAGACACATAATATCTTATGATCATTACTCAAAATGGCGACAGTCTCACTTTCCCCATGGTAGTATGGTATTTAAAATCTCAAATATAAATGTTGTTAAAGGCATTCTTTAATAAAACGATGTTTCAGTTTAAGCAACAACATCCAAACTATAAAACTGTGGAGAAATTACCAACATCCTCTCAGTGGCGTGCTAAAAGGGGGGAGGAGCAGGGGCCGTGGCTCCCTCAGCTGTTGATTTTTGGGAGGTGCTGAAATGAATAAGGGCGTTAAATTTTAAAATTGTATTGGAGAAACGCATTTGGCATTATACAGTTAGTATGATTTCACTCCACAAAATCCAGGAAATGGCATTTTAGAGCTTACTCAGGAATTTTCCCTGAGAGCATTTACCTCGGACTCCCCAAACACGACTCACACTTTAGGTTCTCAGCTCAGGCTTTGGGGCTCGATTTTAAAATGTATATATTTGTGGCCCATTTTCAGTGGTTGCTGATTGCCCCCCCTGGAGTGTTTCTAGCACGCAACTAATCCCACCCCCCTATATTAAACAAAATTATTTGAAATACCTGTTAACCCAACAGAACTTTGTCGAACGAATTAAAATTTGCTTGCAAACTGTCTTCATTTGACGGCCGCCATACTTATTCCGTTTTAAAAAATGTGTTAAATTTTACTTTTCTTACATGACATACATCACGGAGAAGCCACTGACTGACTCTTAAAATTAAGCTTCGTTTAACGGCTCAGATATTTCATTTTCAATGGGAAATGTTGCACATTGCCCAAGATTACGCTACGTTAATGTGACTTATATAAATCAATGGCCAAGCGGTAAGCTCCTTTCCCATAAACCAATAATAAACGTTCATCTCCATTAATTACTTTCGTTGGCTTTCTCAACTCTTCATAGTCCGATAAATAGTCATTTTCAAACGTCATATGTTAAGTGGCACCAGAATCAATTATCCAATCAAATCTATTCTTTTTTATTTGTGATAAGCGCCATCTAATCAATATTTTCTTGATCATCTTTTTTGCACAATGTGCTGACTTTTTTCCTTCGTAGTGAAAATAACAGATTAAATTGTTCTTTCTTTGTAGACAATATCGTGTAAAGTGTTTTCATTAGTGACATATTCATTTATAAGAATGCTGGTTTTCATTTTTGTTTTTGCTGTAGTCCTTTTTTCCTTTCACCCTAAATGATCAGTGAGCAGCATGAGTCTTTTCATCTTTTTGGTATTTAGTATTTGATTTGCATCATTCAGTAAAATTCCTTTAAAGTTTTGATAAGATTTTCCTCCAATCGCATCTAAAGCTATAATCAGCGGCTTGTAGTCTTCCGAAATAGAAGTTGTGGAAAACTGATTTCTTAAAATATCCCATGTCTCTTTCGCTGTATGTCCATCGTTTCTTCGAAGCAATTCTAAATGCTCGCTTCACCTGATGAGACGCGTCTTGTAGGATTTCAACAGATCCATACACATGAGCAAACAAATTAATACTTTTCAGATACAGTATCGCTCGCGTATTTGATAACATAATTTTATCCTTTTCGTATCATACACGTATCGGTCTCGTATCATACGCGTATGTTTTTCGTAACATACGCGTTTCATACGCGTACCGTATGTTAACAAATACGCGAGCGGTACTGTACAAACGCATATTAATTGCCCAATTTCTATTATTTTTTCCTTTTAACTTCGGTATTTTACAGGAAAGATCCGTCAACAAGGCCATACTTAATCTTAATATAATTTAACGACTTATTTTAAAATATATACTCTTTAATATACATATAACAACGCTCCAGACACGCATTCAAGTCTCCTAGTCCATGACCTGTTAAACTAATAAGTCATGTATGACGTCATCCAAGTTACGTGCATAGTTTTATCTCATTAAAATAAGTAGAAACGGGAAATCCCTGATTTTCCATCAATGTTACCTTAAATAACTACGTCAATATAGACAATCTAAATTAAATATTCAGCACATCACGTGATACATTATTGAAAACATCTTCTGCATCACCACGTTCTTACTCAAGTAGTCTGGCATGCAAGGAATGGCTACAAAAAGAATAAAATTTACCAAATGGTTTTGAAAACTTTCTATAGTTGTCTTGATTTGAGCAAGACCTAGATTCATTATGTCCTTTAAATACCCGCTCTTTTTTATACAAGACAACATCAGTATTACATTCTTCTCCTTCTTGCTTTCATTCTCATTATGTCGCTTCATGGCCACTTTTATTGTTCTTAAAAAATAATTTCTACACATTTGTTTTAATCCATATCCATCATGTTCAACATATTGTACGTTTGAAAAAGCACTTTATGTTTTTACGTTCCTGGAACCTGTCCAACAAATGATGCATATATTTACATAACCAATGTTTGTCTATGTTTTGATTTAGATAAAACTGAAAGTAGGGTCAGTAAAAAACTGCTGTCCGTTGACAATAGCACACAACCAATCTTTCCTCTCTTATCAAGACGGCTAGAAGCTCCAGTATCTTCTTTTTTCTCTGAGTAGCATAACATAGGGATAGCTTACAGCATACTATCATAGTTTTTCTGAGCTTATTTACATTTCACGTTAAAGATCTACCAAGCGAAACGCATTGTTTTATTAATGCAAAGTAAAATTTTTTTCTACATACAATTTATTAATTATATAGTTTATCGTTTACCTTAGCTTAAATTTGATTATTATCTTAAATTGACAAGTCTTATAAACAATTCATGGTTTTTTAAAAATTAAAAAAGAATTTTTGCCATTACAGGTCAATCTTCATAGCTAATGGAAAACACAATTGTGCTATCAAGACAATGTGTCATTTGTTACAAATTATTGTAATACAAGTATATTTCAAATGTCATATGTTGTATATTTAATTTTTGGAATTTCTTGATTATAGTCATGTTGATATATCATGTTGAATTTTTGTACAGATGGAATCTAGAGGAACAAGAAATCTGTCTTACATTCAGCAAATAATCAATGTGGTACAAACGGAACTTGCTCAATTTTTCATCAAAGAATGGAACTCTTGTTACAAATCAACACATGGAGAATGGGATGATACCAAAAATAGTGGCAAAAAATTTTGCACTTTAGAATCGGGTAGGAAGTTGGATAAACAACTACAGTTAAAATATCAAGATGGAGACACCAGTAAGTGGGACTGTACGATATTATTTGATGCTATACTTTTTTCAAATTCAATTGGAAAGCATCTTGACAAAAAAACAAAAGATGCTGTTCATGCTTTTCGTTGTGAAAGAAACAAGTACGCACATTGGTATAAAAGGGAATGCTCAGATGATGATTTTGATGATATAGTCAATATCATTGAAAAATCATTTCAAGATTTGAAATTTTCTCTCGATGAAATCATTGAAATAAAAAATTATCGAAACTGTTTTAATTTGTTCCAAGTTTTTCCTTCAAAACCTAATCATTTTTTCGTTGAACGCACTGAATTTCGAGATAAAATTATAAAAGATCTTGAAAAATTGAGAAATGATAACAATGATAAACTGACATATTTTTATATCACTGGTAATCCTGGCTGTGGTAAATCGCAACTTGCAAGACAGGTTTGTGAAAAATTATCGTGTGATTGGAAAAATAGAACTTCGTTTGTAATGACCCTCGATGGAAAAATGAGGAATCTCTTTAAAACTTACTGTGAACTTGGACACCGTTTAAACTGTGACAAGTATATGATTAAAAAATTTGAAGATGAAAACTGTTCCATCACAGACAAAGTGAAGAATTTTCGATCGTTAGTATCCACCCGATTAAAATTCTGGCAAAACTGTTTGATCATTGTAGACAACGTGGAACAGCTCAGCAAAATTTCTTTGTTACTTCCCCAAGTAGGTGATCCCATGTGGAGAAATGGACAAATCATAGTAACTATCCAGAACACAGATGCCGTACCTCAAGACGATGGGTTTAACAAACATATTTCTATCACAAGTGGAATGAATGATAAGGAATGTTTTCAACTGTTGAAGTATTACACTATTGAACATGCTGATGACCAATTGTTGAATGAAGTATCGCACGCATTGGATCGTCAACCGCTGGCTTTGGCTGCTGCTGGTTATTATGTCAGTCGTGTAAACAAAGCAAACTGCTCATTTACTTGGAGTCAATATTTAAAGAAAATATTTTCAGAAGAACAAGAAATTATGGACGCTATTTTTGTTAAATATAACGCTGTATATCCTAAAAGTATGTTACAAGCTTCACTTTTAGCTGTCAGACAAAATGCTGAAGAATCCTCAATATTGGCAAATGTTATTAACTTTTTTTCCGTGATATCGTTTGATCCTATACCACGAGACATTATTGTTTTTTATGTTCAACAGATTGATCCCAAACACTCAAAGAAAGATATATGTCTTCATTTAAAGGACTGCTCATTGTTTTTGCATTCAGAAAATAATGACATTAGTCTACATCGCATTGTTCACAAAGCAACCATTGTTTATCAATCTGAACAGTTGAATGAGAAACATGAAATTGAAAGTAAAGTTGATGAAATATCAAAAGCACTTTACATGTTTAAAGAGAGAGACGACGAAAGCAAATTGATGACGCATCTTGAAAAAATTGTTCAATTATTAAAGACCAACAAGACAAAAATCAAAATGAATACTTTACGAGTTTTCCAATATTTTGTTGACAGATTAGAACATTTTGGAAAATACGACCTTGCTCTTGAACTATTGGATAAATTTAAATCAGAAGAATCTAGTTATGACAAAGCTTGGTATTTTAATATCCTCGGTGTTTTATACCATGACACCGGAAAGTATAGCAAAGCTAAAAATAATCATGAAAAGGCTCTGGAAATTCGAAAACAATCAATAAGTCCAAATCATGTTGATGTCGCTGCCTCTTTAAACAATTTTGGTAATGTGTATAATGTTACTGGAAACTGCGACAAAGCTATAGTGTTTTACGAAAAAGCACTGGAAATTCAAAAACAATCGTTAGGTCCAAATCATGTTGATGTCGCTAGGTCTTTAAACAATCTTGGTACCGTGTATCGTGTAACTGGAAACTACGACAAAGCTATAGAGTTTTACAAAAAAGCTCTGGAAATTCAAAAACAATCGTTAGGTCCAAATCATGTTGATGTCGCCAGGTCTTTAAACAATCTTGGTAATGTGCTTAAAAGAACTGGAAACTACGACAAAGCTATAGAGTTTTACAAAAAAGCTCTGGAAATTAAAAAACAATCGTTAGGTCCAAACCATGTTGATGTCGCTACGTCTTTAAACAATCTTGGTAATGTGTATTATGATACTGGAAACTATGACAAAGCTATAGAGTTTTACGAAAAGCTCTGGAAATTCAAAACAATCGTTAGGTCCAAATCATGTTGATGTTGCTGGTCTTTAAACAATCTTGGTAATGTGTATTCTAAACTGGAAACTACGACAAAGCTATAGAGTTTACGAAAAGCTCTGGAAATTAAAAACAATCGTTAGGTCCAAATCATGTTGATGTCGCTGCGTCTTTAAACAATCTTGGTAATGTGTATAATGAAACTGGAAACTACGACAAAGCTATAGAGTTTTACAAAAAGCTCTGGAAATTCAAAACAATCGTTAGGTCCAAATCATGTTGATGTCGCTGCGTCTTTAAACAATCTTGGTAATGTGTATTATAAACTGGAAACTACGACAAAGCTATAGAGTTTTACGAAAAGCTCTGGAAATTCAAAACAATCGTTAGGTCCAAATCATGTTGATGTCGCTGCGTCTTTAAACAATCTTGGTAATGTGTATAATGAAACTGGAAACTACGACAAAGCTATAGAGTTTTACGAAAAGCTCTGGAAATTCGAAAACAATCGTTAGGTCCAAATCATGTTGATGTCGCTGCGTTTTTAAACAATCTTGGTACTGTGTATTATAAAACTGGAAACTATGACAAAGCTATAGAGTCTTACGAAAATGCTCTGGAAATTAAAAAACAATCGTTAGGTCCAAATCATGTTGATGTCGCTGCGTCTTTAAACAATCTTGGCAATGTGTATAATGTTACTGGAAACTGCGACAAAGCTATAGTGCTTTACGAAAAAGCACTGGAAATTCGAAAACAATCGTTAGGTCCAAATCATGTTGATGTCGCCAGGTCTTTAAACAACCTTGGTAATGTGCTTAAAAGAACTGGAAACTACGACAAAGCTATAGAGTTCCACGAAAAGGCTAAGAAAATTCGCAAAAAAAACGTTAGGAACTAGTCAGGTTGATGTCGCTAAATCTTAAACAATCTAGGTGTGATGTATTATGAAACTCGGGATTATGATAAAGCTTTACAGTTACACATTGGTAGCTACGTGTTTCAAAGAAAACTGTACCTTCCAAATTTTGTTAAGCCTATTTTTAACACATAGACTGTAGGAACAAGGCTTCTACCTGCCAAGTCAACTCCCCTCTCCCTGAGAATGTATTTTTGGTATTGAACAAAACGTTTGCAGTTTGTATTTTGTGAGGTAAAATGAACCTAAAGATGTAATGGTCCTTGTCTATGTATAGTTTCACTGATATCTTGTCAATTAACTTACTCTAAAGCCCAGGAATCATCCTAAGTAAAACTTAGAACTGCCCATGCCCTGAATCTGACATTTTCCTTTAGACTTTATTTTGAAAGTAGATTTTTTTTATGTTATAACGAAGGAGTAATTATTATTGTATGATTCACAAACATACTAAAGTATATTGGGATGACAGAATTTTATGATATAAATTTTGTTAAATAAATACTATCCTGGTAGTTTTTCATATTCTTTGATACATTCAGTAATTTTTTATCCAGCTTCATAAGCCTATGACCATATTCCAGTTCCTATAATTTCCAAGGTGTACACCTTTCATACTATACATACCACCCCATTATGCTGCAGCCAATATTCCTGTGCTGTCACTATCTCCACCATGAAACATAGAACAAGAACACATTTGAAACCAGGAATCTTTTGCCATCATCAAAGCATCTTAATCATTGTTGCATCATGACCACTGGATCCACCCCAACATGCATAACTCACAGATTTATAAAAAGCATCATGTTCAGGTATGTTATATGTCTCTGGAAACTTTAGTTCACTGGTTCCATTGGTTAATTCTCGTAGTTCAAGATATGACTCCCAACTGTCTTTAAAGTAGCCCCAAGATTTCTTGTTTTTTCTATATTACGACCAACCTTATCAATGTATTCCCAAAGTTTGGTAAAACACTTAAAAGTTCTGCTCCCCATTTTTTTGGAGGTATCTTCTGTATACCATAGGCTGTAAATAAAGCTGCAGTAACAGCCCCAAGATAACCTATAATAAAAATCACTATGTTTAAAGATTGCTAATTTCAGGTCACTTACATTAGGATGACCCTATTTACATAATAGCAGTCATGGATCATGGATTCAATGGCTTTAGTAGTGAAAATATAAAAGCAAGAACAGAAATAACAATTAAAACAGCTTTAGAAGACAGAAATTTGGAAATGTGGAAAAGCGATAAAAAGGATGGATCAAAGATATGGTCATTAAAAGTGAGCAATGTTAGAAGGATGGAGCATTTGAGATGTCACAACAACAAACAAACAACATTTGTATACCGGCCAGTATTAATCCCCGCCAGGGGGGTTGACCCGTCCATGAACTTTTTACGCCAAACGTCTCTATCTCTCGCCATATCTCTCGTTATACCCATCGCCTTCATATCACTGTTCACAGCATCCATCCATCTCTTTCTCGGTCTACCTCGTTTGCGGAGTCCATCAACATTCATATGCAACGTTCTATGAATTTCAGCACTTTTTTCCCTCCTTTCCACATGCCCAAACCACCTCAAACGCTGGTGCCTTACCCAATTCTCGATACACTCAACACCAACTCTTTCTCAACTGCTAGAAACAAAAATCTCTTCTTTGCTTTGTTTCAATATTGTTTCAAACTATTCTGTTTAGATTTAGACGAGAGCGTTGGGAGACTGGGACTGTTATTTTGTAATCCTTAATCTTTACCCGATTCCATGATCTTCAATCTGATTAACATGTGGTTCTGGAAAATGATGGATTGCATAGACTTATGCAAACCTAAGGTCAACCATCTTTTATTTCATTTATAAATTGATATTAGATAAAAGGATATGAAACATTCATGGTAATGGCTTGATCAAGTAAGTAATCGAACGAAGAGTTGAAGATAAAACATCTAAGAAAAGCAAAAGGATTGAAAAGCTAAATTACTATAAAGGTTTGTTAAAATGAAAAGAAATGCAGATAACAGGAAAACCTAGCAAACTTTATACAAAGCAAAACTTGTTGATAGACAAAACACTAGACATTACTGACTTGATAATTGATATATGATCTGAAATGATTGCTTTATTATGAAAGGTGAATACCTGTGGGGTGATTATGAGTCATCCTTCCACTTTCAACAGCAATTTCAATTAACATTTCAATTTGATCTTCACAAGGAAACATCAAACCTATACACATGGATCTCATAGCTGCACCACATCCGCCACTTCGTTTATTAAATGGTATAATGTAACTTTTTTCCTCAAGAGGTCGTAACATGAAACATGCCTTTGTTGTGGTCTGACCAGGAGCTCTTTCCCACATATCCTCAGCACATGTCTTCTTGTACTTTGTAGCCATAATGCTCAATAACTCTTCCGTTCTTGCCCATTCAGAAACCAACGCTTCTGCTGTAGCAATGTGTAGTACAGTGTCGTCACTAACCCTCCATCGTTTAATGTCAATTTTATCAAGTCCTCCGAGTTTTTCTAGTTCTTCATGAATTTGAGTACCACTGTAACAGAATTCCCAACGAACCATTCTTATAACCTAGAGCATCCCCCACTCCACTGAGAACCATAACTTCTTCGTATTTCTCGGATAATTGATAATTCGACCAGATTTTCATAAGCCATTTTTGATGTTTACTTCAGGGTATTTTCATGAACGCTTAACATGGGTTTTTGAAACGCGGAAAACACCAGGCTTGCCTCAACTTCTAAAAACAAAAATCTTTTCTGTGCTTTGTTTCAATATTGTTTCAAACTATTCTGTTTAGATTTAGACGAGAGCGTTGGGAGACTGGGAGGGTTATTTTGAAATCCTTAATCTTTACCCGATTCCATGATCTTCAATCTGATTAACATGTTGCTTGTTGCAAAGATACGTTAAGAGTTGAAAAAGCTTTTTTAGCGATAATATTCGAAAATATGACGTTTGCATTGATGAATTTTTACAACGAAAATACATGGATATCATTCCATATTCTAACATCATTTTTTAGGATGAAAATATCTCGAAAGGCAAAGATTTGGGAACAAAGATTTAAAACTCCATTTAATTGGAGATGGAACAATTGCAACTCCAGTAAGATAAATTTCACATGCTGTTATTTTTCAATTTATTTCAGGTCACTTTGGGACGAAATTTGGTTGTCAAAAAGCATGTCTTTAAAAGAATCGTTGCAAAGAAAGTTGGATCATATGTTGCTAACTTAATGGGGGCAATCTTATCCTGTGTGAACATATGGAACCCACAGCTACAAGGACCAAAAAAGGAAAAATGGTCAGGTGAAGCCTCGGCTTGATCCCACATACACTACTTCTTTAATTCGTAAGTAGATATATGGTTATTTGAGTTTGAGTACCGTTGGAATTAAACTTTAAACATTTCAAGGACTTTTTTCACTATAAATATTTAGACTCTGCATTTTCAAGCACGTTTGACCTGCCGTAAATATCTATTTTTTACATGTTCTGCTATGCAGACATAGCATATTGTTCAAACATACCCTGTGCCATGTCTTGTATGGGACAATAAGTGGTAATAATGAAAATTTATGTTGAGTTCAAGTTACTCGCCATATCTTTTTTCGTAATATACTCTATACCTTCAGTAACAACCACGAGTGAACTTAATGATCGAACTAATTTTTATTATTTTACAGAGCAATATTTATAGTCTTTATTACAAATAAGAAATATTATTATTGGTCGGTATAATTCCTCTATTTAAGCTATATATGGTACATAAGGAAATTTAACTAACATCAATAACTGTTCCTTGGCTGTTAGCCGTGTGGGAACGAATACATTGGTAAACCAAACTACGCACATACTATTTCCTTAACATGTTTCTGTGCATGACTCAACAACTTAATGCATCTTTTAATATTTTAAACTTACTGTTGTGAACTACTATGTTGTTTTGATACTTTGTATTTGTATTGAAGACCTAGTCAAGTTTATTAGCTTTTGTCTTTGCTAACTTCCCACCTTATGATCTATCAGAAAATATCCTTTAGAGTTGAGATGGACATTATTCCTCTATCTTTTTTCTAGAGCATGTAACGAGTGTAAAGTATTCAAATATGCCACGCCAGCTTATGGAAGAAGATGTTGTAACAACTATAAAGTTCAAACTTAATAACAAGGAACAAGCATGGAAAAAACAACACGAATCCTGTAAAGAGTAACATTAGCTGTCTATAGTATATTTTTCTATTAATTCTATTCATGCAACTTAATGATATTTTTCTATAAAGGAAAAAAATTGGTGAATATTTTTATCTGATTAAAATACAATGTATAATTAAAATGTCGTGGATTCATGGTTTTATTGGATTCTGTACAAAATAATGTGTACTACTAGAACCTGTACAGGGAATTTGCTTCATTGTGTTTATGAAACCCTTAGTTAATGAACTGCATCATAACATAGATTCATTAGAAAACTGTAGTTCACGGAAAACTATAGTTTTGAAAACCGTAGTGTTTGGGAACAAAACTATCAATTGCAAAACTATAGTTCTCCCAAAACTTTAGTTTCTATAACTATAGTATCGCCAAAAACTATAGTTCGGAAAACTATGAATAAACTATAGTTTTCAAAACTATAGTTTTTGACTTGAAAAACTATAGTTTATTTTGTAATGGTTGAACCAACTTTTTGCAAGTACCTTTTTAAAGCATAGGCTGTAAATTAAGGTGCAGTAATAGCCTCTAGACAAACTAACAACAAAATCATTATCTTTAAAAGTTGTTAATTTCACATCTCTCACATTGTGATGAATCATTTACATAATGGCAACATTATGACACAGATTCTACCTCACCATTGCTACGTCACTACGGGATTACATGAGATTGCGCCAGCGATCACAACTTCAATGTAAAAGTGAACACAACGAGATAGGACGCTTTTGTATTGGCCATTGTAATATTAATATATTTTGGGCAATCGTTTTGCATCGGGGAATTTACAGCAAGCAATCTTGCTGTTTTCCACTCTTACTACGATACAGGTCGACGTAATCGTCAATTTAAACTATTTTTCTGCTCATTTTGTTGTTTTTCTTCGCAATCGACCGAAAACGCATGGCGGCGGAAGGTGAAACCGGCCATGAAGTCTTAGACTCGTCTGGCTCGGAAAATGAACGAGATGAAAGTCGTAATAACCGACGGATTAAAACATCATCTGATATACCATCGACAAGTGATGACGGTAGGGATATGGGACGAGATATAATTGCAATGCAACAAGTCCTAACTGATGGTCTTCAGCGAGGTTTTTCTAAGCTTACGGAGGCTATTGCTTCGCAGTTAAGCAACGCTACCAAACAGGGGCGCACTATGACTCGCTCAGCATCAGAGTCATCGGACTCCGTGGCATCAGTAGCATCGGAAACACGAAAAGCTACTAAAAGAGCGCGTCATGAGTCAACAGGTGATGTTGACGTGGAAGTTGACGAATTGTTAGCAGGGAATGATCCCAACACCACAGAATATATACTATACAGAAGTTCCACTCTTGTCGGAGCCTTTGATGTTTTGGGGGCCGCGCATGCTGCTTCGCGCATCTCGGCCGCCATCTTCCTAGCCAGTCAATTTCTGATAAACAATATAAGGACTGTAAAGAGAAGTACAAATATTTGCCTGTATCTCTTCAATATGGTCGTAGATTTGTTCCTAGCGAGAGTTTGACAAAATTTGAGGTATATTCTATGTCTTTCTTTTTTTACAATGTAATTAAACGTGTTGTAAAGCTCGAAATCTTACATTTCGTTCTGTGACTGTGACCGCTCCTCAGCTTTGTAAACTGCAGTCAATAGAATTTTTCTTATTTTGCCTCGTTAATGACATTAAGTTTGAAATCTCTTGGAATTTTTTACTTACAGTGGTTTGGCACTTTGATGCAGTTTAGAAGTTCAGATGACCTGCATCATAATGTATTGAAAAAGCGTTGAATCTTGACGGTCACTTTCATTTGATTCATCCGAGGTGTATGCGGGTTCATTTATTTTCCTTCTAAAGGTGAGTCACTTTTACGTACTTTTTATTTTTTTTGAACTTGGCGGCTGATAGATCACGACTCGCAAACTTGATGGCATAGTAAATCCTCATTCTTAGAAAGAGTTTGAGGAGATAATTGAAAAATGCGAGCACTGTTCAAATGGGATTGGAGCTTTTTGTAGCCGCTGAAGAATCTTTTTCATAATACATACACTTTTTGTATAAGTGGAGAATTCTGTGACAAATATGTCTTCAATTTTGTTTATATATTCATGAAATGCTACTTTTGGTGCAAGGAGACCGCCAAAGCTCTTGTCTGACTCATATGCCTTGAAGTAGCAAAGCAGATTTCTGCTATCATCAAGTTGGTCTGTGACCATAACTGACTCACATATGGAACACTTGTGCTTTTCAAAATATTTCTGGAGTAAGTATCCAGCTACATAAGCAATTGGATTCTCTTTCATTAAATTGTCACCAACCTCCTTTTCCTTGTAATCCCTTGTCTCAACATCATCAGTTTTTGTGTTTTTAGATGGAGAAATCAAAACAGGAATGCTTGAGTCAGCTTTGCAGAATTGTGCCGTAATATATGAAATTATAATATGAAGAATTGTGCAGTAATATATGAAATTATAATATGATATAATAATGATATTACATGATAGTAGTTGCTATCATGTAACAGACATTAATTAATGTTTGAATCCACAGCTGATGTTATGTAAAGTTTGCAAGAAGTACTTGTAAATTGTGTTTTCCATATACCACTTCCACTTTGAATTATCATATTTAGGAACAAACTGTAGGAACAAACTACTATTACAGATAAAGCATATACAATCATCAATTCAGCAATGTTGAGCATTGTTTGAGTTTATGAGGAAAATAAAATATGAGCATAGGTTTTCAAGACAATTCACAAAATTAAAGATCATTGCTTTTAATTCTCAGGACAGTTCCGCCATACAGTTTATATTTATTTCTAGTAAAAAAATACAGCAGAAGGATTCTATTAAAATAAAATAAATAGTGGAAATTTGGTCTATGAGATTTACTGCAAGAATACATTACTCAACTACCAACTATTGCTACAACACACAGCATAGATGCCATTTGTCATGGTCAAAGTTATTTTTTAGTCCAACTAAGATTTATTTGTATACCAAAGGTAAGTAATAAATTATCTTATCATTCAATTAGCTCATGTCTGTCTTTGTAATTGACCAAAATTTAAACAACAATACAAAACTTCAGTTCATCCAGTGTGTATGCTCTTACGCAATTCACTATTTCTCAGATACATTATAATGGTATATGATCATTTACAAGATTAATATATCGTATATTTATCTACCTAACCACTGATAAAATATTAATTACATGTTCAATAAAACTATAACTATATAGAATTTATAGTAATATATTGGTCTTAATGGTATCGTTTAAACAGTGCAGCTTTAAATTGGCAGATATTCCTGAATGTTTTCTTCTTAAATAACACAGAAAAATATCCTGAAACACCAAATAAATGTTCTGTAGTTCAATCATCAAAGTTCAGTCATATGGTGTCATAAAGATTCATAGTGTGATCGTTTGACCAAATCGAACATGCGATGACGGTGAATCGGCATAAAGTACGACTGAGATTCCTTAAACCTTCCAGAAAAGTTAAAACATACCTTGCCTTTGCTATTTTATAAATTACGCATCAGATTGAACAACCTCAATTGAAAAAAACCGACGTTTTCCAGTCTTCACTTCGCATCTTACGATATAGTTTTATATACCGCTGCCAGCTATTGACTGGCCAGGAAGATGGCGGAATTGGAGCATGCGCATAAAAAATTAGCGACAAGTTAACTCAAGAGTGGAACTTCTGTATAGTATATATTCTGTGCCAACACTACATCGAATGTTGCCTCTGCTCAAAATGAGGAGGATGTTCTAGGCTCAATAGCTAAAGAATACAACCTTGACGAACAATGTGCTGAAGAGGTTAATCCTAAACTAGCAAGCATTGTTAACAAAATGGTGCGTAACAGATTAACCGATGAAAAACTTAAAGAAAAATTGACACAGAGTACTCGGCCCACAAACTGCGAGAACATTGTAGGCACTAAAATCAACCCTGAAATTTGGCCGAAATTGAAGTCAAGCACTCGGAGTCGAGATATTAAATTACAACGGGTGCAAAATATGTTGCTGAAGGCTAGCATTCCGGTGGTTAAAGTTATCTACAAACTCATGCAGGCTGATTCATCTCAACTTGATGATAATAAATCACTGATAAGGAGTCTAATGGACTCTATGGCCATTCTGGGACATACTAATTATGAGTTCGTGCAAAGATGTAGAGAACTGATACGACCAGACCTTAATGATAAATATCAGCAACTTTGTGGTGAACATATTGAGTTCACAAACTGGCTATTTGGGGATGATTTACCCAAACAAGTGCAGGATATTAGTGCCACCAATCGAGTAAGCCAACAGCTGGCTAGTTCCCGACAATATGATCGGCAGAATGGAACGGGCTCCTACTCCAGGCACTCACATCGCCCAAGGGACCATTATGGTCAGAATTTTCGGCAGGGCCCTCGATGGCACAAACCCCAATACCGGGGAGAGAAAAGGCACCAAAAAGACTGCCAGAAACAGCAATGGCTTCACTGGATATCAGGGATGCGTATTATTCTGTAGCTATTCATGAGTCCCACCAAAAGTATCTTAAATTTCACTTTAAGGGACAGTTATACCAATTTACTTGTATGCCCAATGGTCTTGCATGTGCCCCACGGCTGTTTACCAAGCTACTAAAACCAGTTTATGGTCATTTGCGAGCACAGGGCTTATTATCAGTGGGATATATTGATGATTCCTATTTACAAGGGTATAGCTATGACGATTGTCGTCATAATGTTTCTATCACCTCCACGTTTTTATTTGAACTGGGTTTTTGCGTTCACGAAGAGAAGTCAAATTTCATCCCATCGCAAGAAATAGAATTCTTGGGATTTTTATTAAATTCTAAGCTAATGATCGTTAGTTTGACGCCCAACAAGTCGCGGCGGTTAAAGCAAGCTTGTGAAAAACTCATGACACAAACTCAACCTTCCATAAGGGAAGTATCTGAAGTTATAGGAATCTTAGTGGCCAGTTTTCCAGGAGTAGAAATGGGCCCTTTATTTTACAGACAACTGGAGAATGATAAAATTTCAGCACTTAAGAGCTGCAGGGGCCATTATGATGAGGTTATGACACCTTCCAAAACCAGTCTGGCTGATTTGCGATGGGGGGCGGATAATATAGAAACCACTTGTAAGACAATTTCAAAGCCTAAGCCTGAGTACACACTGTTTACTGATATGCCTCGTTGCTTGGCTGGGGAGCAAATTTCCAGGGAAAGTCTGCAGGAGGGCAGTGGTTACCCACTGAAGCTGTGCAACACATTAACTATCTGGAAATGTCTGCAGTCCTTTTGGGTTTACAAACCTTTTGTTCTAGTTTGTCCAATACACATATTTGCCTAAAAACCGACAACACAACTGCAGTGTCATATATAAATGGGGGGAAGTCAATCATTTCAATGTGGGGGGAAGTCAATCATTTCAATGCAATGCCAAAGCTAGGGAAATATGGATTTGGTGCATTCAAAACAGCATTTGGCTTACTGCAGTACACTTACCAGGCAAGTTTAATGGGGAAGCAGATAAAGCTTCTCGAGTTTTTCATGACCAAACAGAATGGCAGTTGAATCCTAGCATGTATCAGTATATTGTTCAGTTTTTCGCATTTCAACCGGATATTGATTTATTTGCTTCAAGGCTCAATTATCAGATACAACCTTATATTTCATGGAATCCTGACCCAGGACCCTTTGCAATTGACGCATTTACGTTTGACTGGACTAATCGTCGATTTTATGCTTTTCCACCTTTCTCTTTATTGGGCAGGGTGCTACAGAAAATAGAACAAGATCAAGCTACAGGAATATTAATTGTCCCAGATTGGAACACACAACCATGGTATCCCATTCTTTGGAAGATGCTACTCCAAGAACCGCTGTTGTTGCCTTACCAGAAGGACATTCTAATATTGCCCTACAAACCAGGGGTTCAACATCCTCTGTCACAGAGATTACGACTGATGGCCTGCAGTTTATCCGGCAATCAATCGAAAGTACAGGAATCTCACCAGAGGCCACTGAAATATTAATGTGTTCTTGGCGTAAGTCAACCCGGCAGCAGTACAAGGGATACATGGAACGATGGACACGATTTTGTTTAAAAAATTGGTTTCAACCATGTGCCCCACAGATCAATGAGGTAATTGATTATTTATTATCCTTGTTCAAGTCCGGTTTGGGATATAGTGGCATAAATACCGCACGTAGTTCCCTTTCATCGGTTCTCTCATTGCACGACGGCGTGTCTCTTGGATCTCACCCTTTGGTAATCAGATTTATGAAAGGGGGAAACACATTCTAATAAAAAGCCTTTGCTCAAATGTTGTTCTTTCTTCTACATAGCAATAGTTCAGTTACAATACTGACAATAAGGATGTGTCTATTTCCCTGATTTTAACTTGTTTGCTCTTAAATACATGTAGTAATACATTAGGCCAAACTTTGCATAAGGTCGTTTCCTTATAATTTCAGGCATGCTACTGCTTCCAATTGAAAATTAATATTTTTTAATAGTTGTTAAATAGTCATCCATTATTTTGTATTAACAGATAATAAAGATTATTTACTCAAGACAATGAGAAAAGAAGAAACTTTCTCTATAAATACTGGCAAAGGGTGTCGCAAAAGAATTCACAAAGCAAAGTTTACAATTGAAAGTGATAGTGAATCAGATGAAGTGGTGAGTTTCCCGAAATATTACATTGACCACATTTTGTTTAAATGGTGTTTACTGCATGTTTCTCAATTATTGCTGCCATCATCTATAGTTAGCACTCATGTCACTAATGTGATGATTCATTCATGGAAATTTGTTAAGTACTCCATATGGTATTCATGATTCAAATGTTATTAGCTACTAATTCTATGTTCGAAGGTCTGCATTGCTGAACTAGGCTATGAGCCTAAGAATTTAAATGAGAAGTAGTATCTGATAACAAACTTTTCAAACAACATGTATAAAATTTTGTATTGTTGTTCTTGTTACCAGCAGGAGCACAGTATTCCTAAAAAGCTAAAGGCATCCAGGGCAAAGAAAGCACAGGCTTGCTGGCTCAGCCAGTCTTGCTTCACTTATAAAAGAGCGATTAACCAAGGTATGTACTATACACAATGATAACACTAATTATTCTTATCTCTAAATTATGCAATTTTATTATTAATGGGGAATGCTAGGGAATTAAGGTCATTTTTCAGAATAAAATTTGGATGTTGTTTGGTTAAATGCTAAAAAAGTTATTAATACTTTATGATATGTTCCCATTAGTCATAAAATGCTGTTAATTTGAAATTCATTTCTTGTTTGTAAGGGAAAAATCTTTTAAAATACAAACATTGTACAGTGTAAGGCTTGTATAGGGCAATCATACAAAAGAATTTTCAATCAGTGTGGCTTATGAAATTAAAAAATTGAGATTTACATTATAATATATTGTACTTGTTGTTAGTAAAGTACACTTTAATAGTTTGTACTAAAAGGAAAATATTGTTAAATATTGCCTAAGTTCTTGTTGATTATTTAGGAGAGTCAATCAGATGAAGGTAGTGCACTTTGCAATGATAAATGCAAGTATAAAAAAGAAGCCTTGGAACTCAAAGAGAGGGTAAAAATGCTGAAAAATCGGATGAAAAGACTTAATGAGCAAATTGACAATGGCAATGGTAAGCTTGAGGAAAATTTACTTCATTTGTATTTTGAAATCAATGCTTTCTCTGCTTTTCAGTTTTGTCTTCCAAAATGGAGAAATTTGTAAATTGCTTGTTCTATTCAGTATATTTTGGATTTGAAATTTAGTATTTGGGTGAAAAGCAACAACTCAATATTACGTAGTGTCATCAACCTTTAGAAGGTTATGATATATCGTTTTAAATTTATAGATTTAGAACTTAATGTTTGTAAATGTAAATCGTCCAGGTTGGTATAGTCCTGAGAAGGACTGTTTTTGTTGTTGTTTTGACTGACGACGTTTCGACAACCTTAGCGGTAGTCATCTTCAGAGTCAAATGAGGAGTAAACGTCAGGTTAGCCGTATTTGTTATCTGGGTCTTACGTCATTGTATTGTGTGTACAGGAAATGTGAAATAGCGTATCAAAGAGACTTGTCAGAGACAACCAAAGACGAGATCAGAAGCAGGATAGCCTCCACTTTAAAATCGTCCTCTATACGTGACAACAACTTGACAAAGGACGAACAACAAGCACTCAAACGACTAAAACACGACAACAACATCGTCATTTTACCAGCAGACAAAGGACGCGTGACTGTGGTCATGAACAGGAATGATTACTTCAACAAAACGAGACCCAACACCATCACTAGTACGCAAACTAAACAGCAAGATCTTCTCGATGAGAAAATCTAACATTATATCTGAACGTATTTACTATCGACTTAGATGTTCAGTACCACGACCACCCAGACTATACGGACTACCAAAACTTCACAAACCACAAATACCCATGCGACCAATTGTATCATTCTGTGGTTCGCCCACTTACGAACTCTCAAAGTACTTGACTGACATACTGCAACCACTTACAAACAAATCCAAACACAAGCTGCAATCCACTGAAACTTTCATTAAAAAACTGAGCACTGTACAAATACCGGACAACTATATACTAGTGTCTTTTGATGTGAAATCACTGTTCACCAGTATTCCACTTAATCTGGCACTTACTTGTACAAAATTCCTCATTACAAACACCACGGACGTACTGCCATTACCGACAGAAGACATTATGGAGCTACTGGAGCTCTGCCTCACCTCCACTTACTTCCAGTACAAAGGTACACACTACAAACAATTACATGGAACAGCAATGGGCTCACCCGTTTCTGTTGTAGTTGCTGAAATTGTAATGCAATCTATAGAGGAACGGGCGCTCACGACTTACAAACATGCACTACCTTTTTGGTTTCGCTACGTAGATGACACAATCACAGCACTGCATGCAGACGAGATTGATGACTTTCTCACTCACATCAACAAACACAACAGCCAAATACAATTTACCAAAGATGTTGAAGAAAACGGAACTCTTCCTTTTCTCGACTGTTTGGTAAAACATGACAATCAAAAACTACGAACAACAGTTTATCGCAAGCCAACACATGCTGACAAGGGATTATGTGCTTTGTTATAATAGTTTCTTTGTAGAAACTATTATAACAAAGCAATTCCATGAAGCCCATGGATGCTTTCGTTCATGATGAAAGAGTCATATTGTATAAGGAGGCTCGCGTTCATCACGAGAGAGCTATGAGAAAGTTACATTGTAAAAGGTAAAAAGTAAAAACGTATAAACATGCTTAGAGTTTGTTTAAATTATAATTCAAAAAGGCAGAAATTGTTTGAACCTTTAAAGTATCCTTGGACGTTCTAGTTTCTTTAATGAGAAGAATTCTTGTAAAGAAAAAGACAAATTTTAAAACAAAAATCCGTTTTCGGTCCGTGCCTCCCGATACCCGTGATAGTTGAGCACTAGAGCGTCGCATGTTAACTAAGAGAACCACATAATCCTTGTTTGTTTGCCATGAAGCATATGGATGGTTTGCTCGTGATACATGAGAAACAGTAAATGGGAGAGTTAAATCAGAAAGATATAAAGCGATAAAAATGGTATAAAACATTTTTAAGGTTGTCTTTAATTATAATTGTCACATAAAGACAGGGTCATAAGAAGTTAATTGAAACATTGCTTGGTTTTTTTATGAGAGGAAAACAAAAAGACAAAATTCGAAAGCGAAAAAAACTCCGTTTTCGGTCCAGGCTTCCCGATACCTCCTTAAGCTCAAGGCACTAGAACGCCGCATGTTAACGTTTCTTTAGGAGATTTCGGCCCCACCACGCTATCCTACTTGGAGGATGCCAATAGCAAGCTTCCGCCCATCACACCCTGAGATCACCTGCGATAGGCTTTGCTCAGGATACACAGGGAGAGTGCGGTCGCCACCGATGTGTGGGTCCCTAAGCCACTGCATACTATATTGCACCCAGCTAGTTGACATCTCCTATATGAAGTTTTAGCTTTATATATATATAGCAAAATTTTAAGGCGTACGAAAGTTGTGGGATGATTGTTATCGTAACTGCGCATGCGCAGATGATTTCTTCGATAATTTGCGACAAAGTGAGTTAATTGACACAAATGTAGTGCAAATACGTATAGTTGGTCGTTGTCATGACTATGAACAACTACTCGAGTGGACTGCGCGTGCTCGAGCGCATGCGCAGATGATTTCTCTATTAAATTGTTACTAAGCATGTTATTTACTTCAAAATTGGTGCTAGTAGATGCATTTCGTCGTTGCCACGACCATGAACTTGTGTATCTCGTCAAGTTGACTGCGCATGCTCAATAATACTGCGCATGCGCAGTTGATTTTCTTAAAACTTGTGACTGAGCGAGCTAATTACTCCAAAATCGGTACTAGTACATCCAGTTGGTCGTTACCATGAGCTTAGAGAGTTGTGGTTGACAACACATGCTCAGATTCTCAATTAATTTGTGACAGAGCGAGCTCTGAAATTGGTGCTTGTAAATGCGCTGAGCAAGTTTTCAATCATATATTTTTGGAATGCTCTTTGTCTTCTTAATCTAGTTTTGACAAATGCATATGAAACTCTTCAACACTTTGTTACGGCACTCCTAATATCCGTGACAACGTTAAAAATGTTTTTTTATTTTCTCTATAACTTAATGCTTGTATATTGCATGTCATATTCAAGCTTTCCTTTGATTTGACGGAAAATGGTTTTTATTCACTCTTACACCTTCTGCCTTTATAATTATTCGATATGTATTTCTAAAATAATATTTACAAATGGCCGAAGAGAATCTTTTTATTTTATTGGCTCTCTTCTACGAAAACAATACTATGTCCGACCATTTGATTGCACGAATTTTGTAATTTGATCACGTTTTTTTGACACGTGTATTTACCATCGGAAAGATGGATTGCTTAAATGTACCTAGTTGCTTAGTCTAATTGGATCCATTGTTATCCTGTAATGTATACCCTTGTGAAACACCAATGACCGTACGTATTGTGTCTTGTATAACCTCTATTCTTGTTCTCCACTTCATCATCTATCCATATTTGTTGCTTTTTAGGTCTCAACTCAACACAACCCTTGTTTGAAGTTCCTAAAACCTTGATCTACCCAAGAAAGATCTCTGGTGGTAACATGTTAGGTATGGCTAGTGGTTGGTCATCGTCATTTGAGCCTTGTGACACCAGTTCAGTAGACGTTAATTGTCCTGAAGACGTTGAGGAGTTTTCTAGTAAAGCGTCGCCTAAACACATTGTTCACAAAGCAATTATTGTTTATCAATCTCAACATTCAAATGAAGAACATAAATTGGAGCATGAATGCAATTTGCCTTCTCTTCAACCATACGTTAAGAAAAAAGCTCAAGCACTTTACATGCTTAAAGAGAGAGACGACAAAAGCAAATTGATGCCACATCTTGAAAAAATTCCTCAATTATTAAAGACCAACAAGACAAAAATCAACATGAATACTTTACAAGTTTTCCTATATTTTGTCGAAAGATTAAGACATTTTGGAAAATACGATCTTGCTTTTGAACTGTTGGATAAATTTAAATCCGAAGAATCTAGTTATGACAAATCTTGGTATTTTAATATTCTCGGTCTTTTATACTATGACACCGGGAAGTATAGCAAAGCTAAACATCATCACGAAAAAGCTCTGAAAATTCAAAAACAATCTTTAGATCCAAATCATGTTGATATTGCTGGGTCTTTAAAAAATCTTGGTTTGGTGTTTTATGGAACTGGAAAATACGACAAAGCAATAGAGTTTTACAAAAATGCTCTAGCGATTCGAAAACAATCTTATGTCCAAATCACGTTTATGTCGCTGCGTCTTTAAACAATCTTGGTAATGTACTTGAAAAAACTGGAAAATACAACAGAGCTCTAGAGTTTCATGAAAAAGCTCTTGAAATTAAAAAACTAGCGTTAGGTCCAAATCATGTTGATCTCACCTCGACTTTAAACAATCTTGGTTTGCTTTTTTCTAAAAATGGAAACTATGACAAAGCTACAGAGTTTTACGAAAAAGCTCTGGAAATTCAAAAACAATCGTTAGGTCCAAATCATGTTGATGTCGCTGCGTCTTTAAACAACCTTGGTTTGGTGTTATATGAAACTGGAAACTACGACAAAGCTATAGAGTTTTACGAAAAAGCTCTGGAAATTCAAAAACAATCGTTAGGTCCAAATCATGTTGATGTCGCTGCGTCTTTAAACAACCTTGGTTTGGTGTTATATGAAACTGGAAACTACGACAAAGCTATAGAGTTTTACGAAAAAGCTCTGGAAATTCAAAAACAATTGTTAGGTCCAAATCATGTTGGTGTTGCTGCGTCTTTACACAATCTTGCTTTGGTGTTTGATAAAACTGGAAACTACAACAAAGCAATAGAATTTTACAAAAAAGCTAAGGAAATTCGCAAAAAAACGTTAGGAACTAGTCATGTTGATGTCGCTAAATCTTTTAAAAAATCTAGGTGTGATGTATTATGAATAGAACAAAGCTTTAGAGTTATACTTTAGTAGCTACGTGTTTCAAAGAAAATTGTGCCTTCCAAATTATGTTAAACCTATTTTTAAGTCAACTCCCCTCTCCCTGAGAAGGAATTTTTGGTACTGAACAAAACGTTTGCAGTTTACATTTTGTGAGGTAAAATGAACCTAAAGATGTAATGGTCCTTTTCTATATAGTTTCACTGATATCTAGTCAAAAAACTTGCTCTACATCCAGGAATCATCCTAACTAGAACTTATAACTGCCCTGAATCTGACATTTCCTTTAGACTTTATTTCTAAAGAAAATTGATTTTATGTTATAACCAAGTAGTAATTTTTGTTGTATGATTCACAAAAATATTAAAGTATATTGGGATGACAGAATTTTATGACATAAATTTTGTTGAATAAATACTGTCCTGTTAGTTTTTCATATTCTTTGATACGTTCAGTAGTTTTTTACCAAGCTCCATAAGCCTATGACCATATTCTAAGTTCTTATAATTTCCAGGGGGTACACCTATCATACCAAACATACCACCCCACCATGCTGCAGCCAATATTCCTGTACTGTCACTATCTCCACCATGAAACATAGAACAAGAACACAATTGAAACCAGGAATCTTTAGCCATCATCAAAGCATCGTAAGCAATCATTGGTGCATCATGACCACTGGACCCACCCCAACCTGCATAACTCACAGATTTATAAAAAGCATCACGTTCAGGTATGTTATACATCACTGGAAACTTTGGTTCACTGGTTCCATTTGTTAATCCCGTAGTTCAAGATATGACTCCCAACTGTTTTAAAGTAGCCCCAAGATTTCTTGTTTTCTTCTACATCACGACCAACCTTCTCAATGTATTCCCAAACTTTGGGTAAAACACCTAAAAGTCCTGCACCCCAACTTTTTGGAGGTATCTTCTGTATAGCATACGCTGTAAATAAAGCTGCAGTAACAGCCCCAAGATAACCTATAATTAAAATCATTATCTTTAAAGATTGCTAATTTCAGGTCACTTACATTATGATGACCCTATTTACATAATAGCAGCATTTTGATATGGATCATGGATTCAATGGCTGTAGTAGTGAAGATATTAAAGCAAAACAGCAATGACATTTCAAAGAGTTTTTAGGAGACAGAAATTTGGAAATGTGGAAAAGTGATAAAAAGGATGGATCAAAGATATGGTGATTAAAAGCAAGCAATGTTAGAAAGATGTAGGCATTTGAGATGTGGTTCTAGAGAAGGATGGATTGCATAGACTTATGCAAACCTAAGGTCAACCATCTTTTATTTTATTTATAAATTGATATTAGATAAAAGGATATGAAACATTCATGGTAATGGCTTGTTCAAGTAAGTAATCGAAGGAAGAGTTGAAGGTAAAACATCTAAAATAAGCAAAAGGATTAAAAAGCTAAATTACTATAAGATGTGTTAAAATGAAAAGAAATGCAGATAACAGGAAAACCTGGCAAACTGTATACAAAGCAACACTTGTTGATAGACAGAACACTAGACATTAGTGAGTTGATAATTGAGACATGATCTGAAATCGTTGCTTTATTATGAAAGGTGAATACCTGTGGGATGATTATGAGTCATCCTTCCACTTTCAACAGCAATTTAAATTAACATTTCAATTTGATCTTCACAAGGAAACATCAAACCTATACACATAGATCTCATAGCTGCACCACATCCTCCACCTCGCTCATTGAATGGTATAATGTAACCTTTTTCTTCAAGAGGTCGTAACATAAAACATGCCTTTGTTGTGGTCTAACCAGGAGCTCTTTCCCACATATCCTCAGCACATGTCTTCTTGTACTTTGTAGCCATAATGCTCAATAACTCTTCCGTTGTTGTCCATTCAGAAACCAACGCTTCTGCTGTAGCAATGTGTAGTACAGTGTCGTCACTAACCCTCCATCCTTTAATGTCAATTTTATTAAGTCCTCCGAGTTTTTCTTGTTCTTCATGAATTTGAGTAACACTGTAACAGAATTCCTACAAACCATTCTTATAACCTAGAGCATTCCCCACTCCACTGAGAACCATAACTTCTTCGTATTTCTCGGATACTTGATAATTCGACAAGATTTTCATAAGCGATTTTTAATGTTTACTTCAGGATATTTTCATGAACGCTTAACATGGGTTTTTGAAACGCGGAAAACAGCAGGCTTACCTCAACTTATAAAAACAAAAATCTTTTCTTTGCTTTCTTTCAATATTGTTTCAAACTATTCTGTTTAGATTTAGACGAGAGCGTTGGAAGGCTGGGACTGTTATTTTGAAATCCTTAATCTTTACCCGATTCCACGATCTTTAATCTGATTAACATGTTGCTTGTTGCAAAGATACGTTAAGAGTTGAAAAAACTTTTTAGCCATAATATTCGAAAAATGGCGTTTGCATTGGTGAATTTTTACAACGAAAATGCATGGGATATCATTCCATTTACTAACATCATTTTTTAAGATGAAAATATTTCGAAAGACAAAGATTAACTTAAAGGATTCAAAACGTTAGTCATGTGGGGTGATGGAAAAACAAAGGGAAACGGCAAGTCGAGGGAATTTCCTGCAGAGATAATAGAGGTTTCAGGTTAGTATTTTTAGTCTGTTGTAGAATTTTTTGTAAAATTTCTAAAAGCTTGTATAATTCAGCCAAAAAGCTAATTGCTAGTGCATCGAGCTCTTTCTCTTTATCATCATTTCTTTCATGAAACATCTTAGCTTTGCTATATTTCTGTAAATTTCTGTGTGAAAATCTATTTGTTTGTTTCTCTGTCTTGTTTGTAGAAATAGTCATAGTTGATATGAAGGTTGCTTTATAATTCAACCTGCTTTTTAGGAGGGAAATACTTTCTGATAAAAGCCTTTGCTCAAATGTTGTTCTTTCTTCTACATAGCAAGTTCAATTACAATACTGACAATAAGGATGTGTCTATTTCCCAGATTTTAACTTGCTTGCTCTTAAATACATGTTTGACAATACATTAAACTCAAACTTTGTTACGGCACTCGTAATATCCGTGACAACGTTAAAATGTTTTTATTTTTCTATAAATTTGTACCTGCGTATTGCATATCATATCCAAGCTTTCCTTTGATTTGACGGACAATGGTTTTTCTTCACTCTTACACCTTCTGCCTCTAAAATTAGTCGATCTGTATTTCTAAAATAATTTTTATGAATGCAAGAAGAGAATCTTTTTATTTTATTGGTTCTCATCTACAAATACAATAACATGTCCGACTATTTGATTGCACGAATTTTGTAATTTGATGACGTTTTTTTGACGCGTGGGTTAACCATCGGAAAGATGGATTGCTTAAATGTACCCAGTTGTTTAGACTAGTGGGATACATAGTTATCCTGTAATGTATACCCCAGTGAAACACCAATGACCATACGTAGTGTGTCTTCTATAACCTCTATTCTTGTTCTCCAATTCATCATCTATCCATATTTGTTGCTTTTTAGGTCTCAACTCAACACAACCCTTGTTTGAAGTTCCTAAAACCTTGATTTACCCAAGAAAGATCTCTGGTGGTAACATGTTAGGTATGGCTAGTGGTTGGTTATCGTCATTTGAGCCTTGTGAACACCATTTCAGTAGACGTTAATTGTCCTGAAGACGTTGAGGAGGTTGCTAGTAAACGTCGCCTAAACACATTGTTCACAAAGCAATTATTGTTTATCAATCTCAACATTCAAATGAAGAACATCAATTGGAGCATGAATGCAATTTGCCTTCTATTCAACCATACGTTAAGAAAAAAGCTCAAACACTTTACATGCTTAAAGAGAGAGACGACGAAAGCAAATTGATGCCACATCTTAAAAAAATTCCTCAATTATTAAAGACCAACAAGGCAAAAATCAACATGAATACTTTACAAGTTTTCCAATATTTTTTCGAAAGATTAAGACATTTTGGAAAATATGATCTTGCTTTTGAACTGTTGGATAAATTTAAATCCGAAGAATCTAGTTATGACAAATCTTGGTCTTTTAATATTCTCGGTCTTTTATACTATGACACCGGGAAGTATAGCAAAGCCAAAAATCATCACGAAAAAGCTCTGAAAATTCAAAAACAATCTTTAGATCCAAATCATGTTGATATTGCTGTGTCTTTAAAAAATCTTGGTTTGGTGTTTTATGGAACTGGAAAATACGACAAAGCAATAGAGTTTTACGAAAATGCTGTAGCGATTCGAAAACAATCGTTATGTCCAAATCACGTTTATGTCGCTGCGTCTTTAAACAATCTTGGTAATGTACTTGAAAAAACTGGAAAATACAACAAAGCTCTAGAGGTTCACGAAAAAGCTCTGGAAATTCAAAAAAAGTCGTTAGGTCCAAATCACGTTGATGTCGCTGCGTCTTTAAACAGTCTTGGTATGGTGTTTGATAAAACTGGAAACTACGAAAAAGCCATAGAAGTTCACGAAAAAGCTCTGGAATTTCGAAAACAATCGTTAGGTCCAAATCATGTTGATGTCGCTGAGTGTTTATACAATCTTGCTGAGGTGTATACTCAAACTGAAAACTACGACAAAGCTGTAGAGTTTCATGAAAAAGCTCTTGAAATAAAAAACTAGCGTTAGGTCCAAATCATGTTGATCTCACCTCGACTTTAAACAATCTTGGTTTGCTTTTTTCTGAAAATAGAAACTATGACAAAGCTATAGAGTTTTACGAAAAAGCTCTGGAAATACAAAAACAATCGTTAGGTCCAAATCATGTTGATGTCGCTGAGTGTTTTAACAATCTTGCTGCGGTGTATTCTGAAACTGAAAACTACTTCAAAGCTATAGATTTTTACGAAATAGCTCTGGAAATTCGAAAACAATCGTTAGGTCTAAATCATGCTGATGTCGCTACGTCTTTAAATAATCTTGGTTCGGTGTATGATAAAACTGGAAACTACGACAAAGCTAAAGAGTTTTACGAAAAAGCTCTGGAAATTCGAAAACAATCGTTAGGTCCAAATCATGTTGATGTCGCTGCGTCTTTAAACAACTTTGGTTTGGTGTTATATGAAACTGGAAACTACGACAAAGCTATAGAGTTTTACGAAAAAGCTCTGGAAATTCAAAAACAATTGTTAGGTGCAAATCATGTTGGTGTCGCTGCGTCTTTACACAATCTTGCTTTGGTGTTTGATAAAACTGGAAACTACGACAAAGCATTAGAATTTTACAAAAAAGCTAAGGAAATTTGCAAAAAAACGTTAGGAACTAGTCAGGTTGATGTCGCTGAGTCTTTTAAAAAATCTAGGTGTGATGTATTATGAAACTCGGGAATATAACAAAGCTTTAGAGTTATACTTTAGTAGCTACGTGTTTCAAAGAAAATTGTGCCTTCCAAATTATGTTAAACCTATTTTTAAGTCAACTCCCCTCTCCCTTAGAAGGAATTTTTGGTACTGAACAAAACGTTTGCAGTTTACATTTTGTGAGGTAAAATGAACCTAAAGATGTAATGGTCCTTTTCTATATATAGTTTCACTGATATCTAGTCAAAAAACTTGCTCTACATCCAGGAATCATCCTAACTAGAACTTATAACTGCCCTGAATCTGACATTTTCCTTTAGACTTTATTTCTAAAGAAAATTGTTTTTATGTTATAACCAAGTAGTAATTTTTGTTGTATGATTCACAAAAATATTAAAGTATATTGGGATGACAGAATTTTATGACATAAATTTTGTTGAATAAATACTGTCCTGTTAGTTTTTCATATTCTTTGATATGTTCAGTAGTTTTTTACCAAGCTCCATAAGCCTATGACCATATTCTAAGTTCTTATAATTTCCAGGGGGTACACCTATCATACCAAACATACCACCCCACCATGCTGGAGCCAATATTCCTGTACTGTCACTATCTCCACCATGAAACATAGAACAAGAACACAATTGAAACCAGGAATCTTTAGCCATCATCAAAGCATCGTAAGCAATCATTGGTGCATCATGACCACTGGACCCACCCCAACCTGCATAACTCACAGATTTATAAAAAGCATCACGTTCAGGTATGTTATACATCACTGGAAACTTTGGTTCACTGGTTCCATTTGTTAATCCCCGTAGTTCAAGATATGACTCCCAACTGTTTTTAAAGTAGCCCCAAGATTTCTTGTTTTCTTCTACATCACGACCAACCTTCTCAATGTATTCCCAAACTTTGGGTAAAACACCTAAAAGTCCTGCACCCCAACTTTTTGGAGGTATCTTCTGTATAGCATACGCTGTAAATAAAGCTGCAGTAACAGCCCCAAGATAACCTATAATTAAAATCATTATCTTTAAAGATTGCTAATTTCAGGTCACATTATGATGACCCTATTTACATAATAGCAGCATTTTGATATGGATCATGGATTCAATGGCTGTAGTAGTGAAGATATTACAGCAAAACAGCAATGACATTTCAAACAGTTTTTAGAAGACAGAAATTTGGAAATGTGGAAAAGTGATAAAAAGGATGGATCAAAGATATGGTCATTTAAAGTGAGCAATGTTAGAAGGATGGAGGCATTTTAGATGTCGTTCTGGAAAATGATGGATTGCATAGACTTATGCAAACCTAAGGTCAACCATCTTTTATTTCATTTATAAATTGATATTAGATAAAAGGATATGAAACATTCATGGTAATGGCTTGTTCAAGTAAGTAATCGAACGAAGAGTTGAAGGTAAAACATCTTAGAAAAGCAAAAGCATTGAAAAGCTAAATTACTATAAAGGTTTGTTAAAATGAAAGGAAATGCAGATAACAGGAAAACCTGGCAAACTTTATAGTAAGAAACACTTGTTGATACACAGAACACTACACTTTAGTGACTTGATAATTGAGACATGATCTGAAATCGATGCTTTATTATGAAAGGTGCATACCTGTAGGGTGATCATGAGTCATCCTTCCACTTTCAACAGCAATTTCAATTAACATTTCAATTTGATCTTCACAAGGAAACATCAAACCTATACACATGGATCTCATAGCTGCACCACATCCGCCACCTCGTTCATTAAATGGTATAATGCAACCTTTTTCCTCAAGAGGTCGTAACATGAAACATGCCTTTGTTGTGGTCTGCCCAGGAGCTCTTTCCCACATATCCTCAGCACATGTCTTCTTGTACTTTGTAGCCATAATGCACAACAACTCTTCCGTTATTGTCCATTTAGAAACCAACGCTTCTGCTGTAGCAATGCCAATGTGTAGTACAGTGTCGACACCAACCCTCTATCCTTTAAGGTCAATTTTATCAAGTCCTCCGAGATTTTCTAGTTCTTCATGAATTTGAGTACCACTGTAACAGAATTCCCACAAACCATTCTTATAACCTAGAGCATCCCCCGCCCCCTCCACTAGTTCGACAGTATTTTCGACCGTATTTTTAATGTTTACTTCAGGGTATTTTCATGAACGTTTAACATGGATTTTTGAAACGCGGAAAACACCAGGCTTACCTCAACTTATAAAAACAAAAATCTCTTCTTTGCTTTATTTCAATATTGTTTCAAACTATTCTGTTTAGATTTAGACGAGAGCGTTGGGAGACTGGTACTGTTATTTTGAAATCCTTAATCTTTACCCGATTCCATGATCTTCAATCTGATTAACATGTTGCTTGTTGGAAAGATACGTTAAGAGTTGAAAAAACTTTTTCAGCGATAATATTCGAAAATATGGCGTTTGCATTGGTGAATTTTTACAACGAAAATACATGGATATCATTCCATATTCTAACATCATTTTTTAGGTTGAAAATATGTCGAAAGACAAAGATGAACTGAAAGAATTCAAAACGTTAGTCATGTGGGGCGATGGGAAAACAAAGGGAAACGGCAAGTCGAGGGAATTTCCTGCAGAGATAATAGAGGTTTCAGGTTAGTATTTTCAGTCTGTTGTAGAATTTTTTGTAAAATTTCTAAAAGCTTGTATAATTCAGGCAAAAAGCTAATTGCTAGTGAATCAAGCTCTTTCTCTTTGTTATCATTTTTTTCATGAAAATCTTAGCGTTGCTATATATCTGTAAATTTCTGTGTGAAAATTTATTTGTTTATTTCTCTGTCTTGTTTGTAGAAATAGTCATAGTTGATATGAAGGTTGCTGCTATCAATTCAACTTACTGCTTTTTTAGGAGGGAAATACTTTCTGATAAAAGCCTTTGCTCAAATGTTGTTCTTTCTTCTACATAGGAATAGTTCAATTACAATACTGACAATAAGGATGTGTCTATTTCCCAGATTTTAACTTGCTTGCTCTTAAATACATGTAGTAATACATTAGGCCAAACTTTGCATAAGGTTGTTTCCTTATAATTTCAGGCATGCTACTGCTTCCAATTGAAAATTATTATTTTTTAATAGTTGTTAAATAGTCATCCATTATTTTGTATAAACAGATAGTAAAGATTATTTGCTCAAGACAATGAGAAAAGAAGAAACTTTCTCTATAAATACTGGCAAAGGGTGTCACAAAAGAATTCACAAAGCAAAGTTTACAATTGAAAATGAGAGTGAATCAGATGATGTGGTGAGTTTCCTGAAATATTACATTGACCACATTTTGTTTATATGGTGTTTACTGCATGTTTCTCAATTATTGCTGCCATCATCTATAGTTAGCACTCATGTCACTAATGTGATGATGCATTCATGGAAATTTGTTAAGTACTCCATATGGTATTCATGATTCAAATGTTATTAGCTACTAATTCTATGTTTGAAGGTCTGCATTGCTGAACAAGGCTATGAGCCTAAGAATTTAAATGAGAAGTAGTAGCTAATAACAAACTTTTCAAACAACATGTATAAAATTTTGTATTGTTGTTCTTGTTACCAGCAGGAGCACAGTATTCATAAAAAGCTAAAGGCATCCAGGGCAAAGAAAACAGAGCCTTGCTGCTCAGCCAGTCTTGCTTGACTTATAAAAGAGTGATTAACCTGTTAGATTATTCGAGGTTCGGCAATAACGTTCGGATAATATGTGAAATATTATGATTTTATTGTGGAACAAAATAATAACTTACGTATAAGCTAACAACGATATTAGAATTTTTTTTTAAGTTCACAATGTCACTTGATCTTATATGTGTCATACCTACTTAATTATGCATGCAAAGCTATATTGTTTATGTTTTTTGCGTGATGTTCATATCCTAACACTCCCTTTCGAAAAATTTAAACTAATCACTATTCCTTTAAATGTTTGTTACTCCCATATCAGATCTCATTCGTTGAAATACAGTTTTTCCTAATGGTTTCGTTAACATATCAGCAACCATTTGTTGTGACGTACAATACTCAAGTGCAATTTCTTTCTTCAGTACTTTGTCTCGAATGAAATGATATTTTATGTCAACGTGTTTCGTTCTTGGATGGTATTTCGGATTTTTCGATAAACTTATTGCTCCTTGATTATCCTCTTTTATGATAGTTGGTTCCTTTTGAGTGAAGTTTAAATCATGTAGTAATCCTCTTAACCATATTGCTTCCTGACATGCTTGTGATGCTGCAACATACTCAGCTTCAGTAGATGAGAGAGCTAAAATACTTTGCTTTTTGCTTGCCCAACTTACCAATCCACCACAAATCATGAATAGGTATCCTGAATGTGATTTTCGATTATTTGGATCACATCCCCAATCAGCATCAACAAATCCACTTAATTTAACTTCGGATTCCTTAGTAGATAAGATGCAGCTTTGTCACACTTTTGTCACAGAGCTCTTACCCGTGCCAGTTAGTTTCCAGTCCCCTGAAGTTGATCGGTGCGCGCGCATGTCAACCGGAAATAGGGTTTAATAAACATGGCATGGCATTGGATGGCGTGAAAATCGGAAATACGACAAAGCTGGAAGTTGCATGCTATTGACAAAGTAACATTAGATCCGCCTTATGTTTTATTGGTTAATAAACCGGATCTATGTCATTGTGTATTCATTCTTCAAACTATATAGTCGAACTATCGTCTTAAAAAATGTTATTTGCGTTGTTTATTATTGCATTGCTTTTGGACGTTTTGAAAAACAAAAATATGGCACACATGTTTAATCAGATATATGCAGACACTGTTGAGTTTGAAGAAGTTAGTCACAGCGATCTTATCAATTTGATTTTCGTCGATTTTATAAGTAAAAAGATTCAAGAGCTACGAAGAGCTGAAAAGGATGAAAGTAAAGCAGACCCTTGGACGGAGTATCAAAACGTTTTAGAAATGATGGCTGAGGAAGATCGGTGGTTCAATTTTGCAGCTCGTGCAGTCGAAACAATCAATCGCGAACATGTCTGGAATGGAATATGTGAAGCCTTTAAGTTTCTAAAGTACAGTGGACCTTCGAACTCTCACAAGACATATTTTGACAAACTGTTTAGTGTTACTTGGGTAGAACTAATGTTAATGTACACGGAGACAAAACGTCCTCCTTTTTATCAACATCTCTTTGACTATGCTGATTGTAGTTGTAAACTGAAATACAGATCAACTATGTAATTGCTTTGACAAAAAAATAAAATATAAATTTCAATGTTATTGCATTTTGTCTTCAGTTGTTTTATGACCATGTCATTGTGAAAATGGGGATCGGTAGCAGCAAACGTGAAAATAGAAATGCAAAAAGGGATAAAAATCATAATCGTCAGAAAATGTTTCGCTTGGGTATAAGTTTCGGACGCAACGATCTCAATCTTGAGGGTCATTTGCAAGCAGGATACACAAGTAAAACTGTTAAAAATTATGGACCCGTCGCAATTAAACTTCCAACAGATAATGCGATAGAAGAAACACTGCCTGTAACTGAAAACATTGAACCCATCGATAATGAGTAGTTAAAAGAAATTGACATCTAATTGCAAAGTTATTATCACGAGAACATTGTCATGAGTAACGTTGACCAGTACTTAGCCGGTGTATACTTCAATCCAAAACGCCCAGGAAGCTACGGAGGTGTTGAACGTTTGTACCGTGATGTAAAGGCAGAAGGAATATATGACATTAGTCGTGAAAGAATTAAAGAATGGCTCATGCAACAAGACGCATACTCTTTGCATAAACCTATTCGAAGAAAGTTTGAAAGAAATCGTGTCGTAGTGAGTGGTATTGACGACCAGTGGCAATTGGATCTTGCAGACATGCAATCTTTGCAAAAGTATAATGATGGTTATCGCTATCTTCTTATCTGTATTGATGTTTTTCCAAATATGCATGGGCTGTTCCATTAAAAAGAAAACAGGATCGTCGTTGGTAGAAGCTTTTAAAAGATTTTGTCATCAGGACGTAAACCAACACACATTCAAACGGATCAAGGCTCGGAGTTTTTTAATCGAGACTTTAAGAAACTTTGGCAGAAGAAAACGTTACCTTGTTTAATACATTTAACGAGACGAAGGCATCCATCGTTGAACGTTTGATACGTACACTGAAAACTAAAATGTGGCGCTACTTCACAGCAAACAAAACCATGAGATACATTGACATGCTTCCTGATCTACTGTATTCTTATAATCATAGCATGCATCGCAGCATTAAGGAAAAACCGATCAACGTTACAAGTGAAAATGAAGATAGAATTCGGCAAAATTTATATGGTGATAGCAAATTAAATAAACCTACGCATGTAAAATATAAGTTTGATATAGGTGACCAAGTACGAATAAGTAAAATAAAACGAAAGTTTGAGAAGGGTATTTACCGAATTTTTCAAAAGAAATTTTCACTGTAAGTCAAAAATACCACGCAATCCTCCTGTATACAGACTGAAAGATCATGAAGGGGACGAACTTCAAGGAACATTTTATGAAAAAGAACTTCAAAAAGTCATCAAGAAAGACGATGTTTATGAGATTGAAAAAATACTTAAGAAACGTGGTAGAGGGGGCAATGTACAATATTTTGTAAAGTGGTCTGGCTACCCTAACAAATTTAATTCATGGGTACCAGCATCGGAAATACATATATAAAACGTAACCGTTTTCATGATTTTTTCATTTCACATTATACCTTAAAGATGAGCGGGACACACTTCTATCTGACATTACCTAGTAATGCATCTCTCTGTATTTCCTGAGAATAAGATTTCAGGTTATCGCGTAAAACTACCTCACGTTGTGAATTTAAATGGTAATTGGGAAGTAGGATTGTATTCAATTACATATCCTCATACATGGTACACGTTGAAAAAAGGTTTGGATACACATATATATGTAACTCACAAAACAGGTCTACCTACTCCGGTATTTGTCGACTATGGCCTGTATGAAAAGCCTTCGACCTAGTAAAATCAGTTAATGAGACTCTTGACAAAGAAGTAAAAGACAATATCAAATTGAGCTTTGACCCCGAACAGAAAAATTAAAGTGCATGTAAGACAGGGTTACAAAATATCATTTAATCAACGAATGTCGGTCTTACTCGGTTTTGGCGGAAAAGACGTAGAGATTTTAAAACAACCGAAAGCCCTTATGCTTTGATTTGCACGGATCCGTCATGATGTATGTATATTGCAACATTGTACAACCGCAAGTTGTTGGAGACGTCAATGTAAAATTACTAAAGGCAGTTACCATTCAAGGAAAATATGGAGACATTGTTTCAAGAACATTCACTAATATCCAATACATACCCGTGCAAACAAAATCTTTTGAGGACATCGAAATTCTCTTAAGGGACGAGTTAGGAAACCCCATCGCATTTGAACGAGGGAAGTCGATAGTGACACTTCATTTCAGAAAGCAAGCTTCGTCTTATTTTACATAAGAAATATGACTCTAACAAATCGTTATGTTCAATATTATCTCAACCAACAACGAGGATACGGTTCATCACCAGTGTTTAAAGGAGCACCTTGGCAAAGAGGATATGGGCAAGTGGGTTATGGTCTTGGTGGCTTATTTCGCAGTTTAGCTAGCTGTAATACCTCTGGCAAAAAGCGGTGCAAAAGCTCTGGGTAAAATTGCTCTTAACACAGGAGCAAACGTTTTAGGTGATGTTATCTCCGGGAAAAGTGTGAAAGAGTCTGCAAAATCGTGAGTAAATCAGGCTGCTAAAGATGTGGGGGAAATGGCTGTAAACAGAATGCAGCAGTTTGCTCAAACAGGAAGAGGAAAGTCTTCAAAGAAACGGTCAAGAAAACCAGCTAAAAAGAGAAAGGCGACGACTTCCATTGCCATTCACAGTTCAGCCAAGAGACGTAAAGCAGCTAAAGAAGCAGAGGACATTTTCGGCTAAATATGGATTTCGTTCATCCAAAATCTGCAGAATGTACAAAAACCGAACTTGATTTATTTTCTGTCCCACCAACACAAGTCAGTTTAGAAAAGGGCATTGGATTGATCATCAACCTGTGTCCAGCGTATCTGAAAATGGACCAATTACATTTTAGCGCCCGGCACTGAAGATTATGTTGACATGTCTAAGACAATATTGGTAGCTAGAGCGAAAGTAACAAAAGCCGATGGTGGGGATATCGATGATGACACTAAAGTTGGACCTGTAAACAATTTCTTGCACAGTTTGTTCAAGCAAGTTGACGTGTTTCTAAAAGGAAAGTTAGTTACACAAGCAACAGGAACATATCCATATCGTGCATATCTCGGAACACTTTTAAATTATGGTCCGTCAGCCAAACAATCCCAGCTCACCGCTGCGTTATTTTACAAAGATACTGCAGGTCAGATGGATAATGCAGATCCTGCCCACGCAAGTCCAAACAGGGTTTGAAGACAAGAAATAAGTTTATCATGGGAAGTAAAATTGTTGATATGGCAGGTCCTATCTTTTGCGATGTTTTCTTTGGTGAACGTTACTTACTTAGCTATGTTGATTTGAAAGTGGTCATGAACCGTACCAGTGACGAATTTGTCTTAATGTCATCGGTGGACGGTGCAGCCTTTAGAGTGAAACTGATAGATGCATACCTTAAAGTTCGTAAAGTCAAAGTGAATCCTAGTATATCTCTGGCTCACGAAGTTGCCCTGAAAAAAGGTCCAGCCATTTACCCTGTAAGACGTGTGGACTGTAAAAGTTTTATTATTCCTTCTGGAAACCCTTCGCTGCAAAAAGATAACCTTTTCAATGGTTTAGTGCCTAAATCGTTTGTTTTCGGTCTTGTTGAAAGTGCGTCATTCAACGGAGCTTATAAAAAGAACCCATTCAATTTCCAACATTTCAACATTTCATCGTTAGGCATTTCAATAAATGGTGAATCTGTACCATTTAAACCAATCAATTTGTCCTTTGGCGCGAATCCAAGATTTATAGAAGCATTTCTATCGCAGTTTTCAGGCACTGGGAAAATGTATTACGACACAGGCAATGGCATTACGCGTGAAGATTTCCCAAACGGTTTTGCCCTGTTCGGCGCGGACTTTACCCCGATATGTGCAGTGCATCCGAACATTTTAACACGGTGCAAAAGGAAACCTGGCCATTGACTTACAATTCTCGACACCGCCAACTCATGCAGTTAGCCTTGTGTGCTATGGAGAGTTTGAAAATATAATACAAATCGATGGAGAGAGAAATGTCGTTTATGACTACATTGGATAAATGAACACCTCACAAATATGGACCGCTTTGAAATCTGATCCGGTAACAGGAAAAAAATTTCTCGGCGTTTTTCCAGCCGACCGTCTGCCTAAAGAAATCGAAAGCTACCCAAAAGGATTTATCGCAAACACGGATGTAAGCGGAAAACCGGGGACCCATTGGGTTGCCTTTACTTTCCTTCAGAAGAAAAGCCGAATTCTTCGATAGCTATGGACAACCACCAGGGCGATATCATAAGTTCTTTAGAGATTATTTGAAACATTATGATTGGGGGTTTAATAAACGTCAATTGCAAAGTATCTGGACGGATGTATGTGGACAATATTGTATATTTTACCTCAGCCATAGAGTGCGAGGATATAGCATGAATAAGATTGTAAACATGTTTGATGGTAATACTGTTGAGAACGATAACAAGGTATCAAGTTTCGTTAGCAGACATTTTCATGTAGAAACTAGTGTAACCCTAAACGATAGCATTCAGTCAAGTATAAAATTTGTTGTAAAAGCTTGAGCCGTTTATTATCAATAAAATTTTCTTTGTGTAAACTAATTGCCTGTGTTTTCTATTTGCATATTCTAATGATAACAGTCAGGAAATTGATATCAACTGCTCTATTTATTTAAACAAAACAAATCTTTACATGTCAAATTTTAATAGTCTATCCAACGTAAGCGAGTTTTCTTTAGTGTAGGGGTGGCTTTAGGTGTTGTCATTTTCGTTCTTGAGCCTCTGTGGTAGGCTATTCCGTCTTCTTCATCGGGCGAAGTTTCCATTTGAGCTTCTTCCCATCTTACATTGTTCCGAACCAAATCACGAGGAATGTTTACTTTAATAAAACGGGAAAGAATTCTCTAGAACCTGTAGGATTGAAATTCTTTCTCCCTCTTACGGCGTCGCTAATGAGGTCTGATATATTTGATTGAGGGATAATAACACCATCAAGTTTGACTTGTCCTGAATCATCCCAAGTTATTATATCCGGATATGTTTTGAGACGCTGCAGTTTTGAGTCGCGCGTTCACGCATCGTCTTCGGCACACTTTGTACAATGACGGAGTCAGCTAATGTACGCACTTCGTTGTTTATTACCGAGTTTCTTTCTTCCCGTCGGTTGTATCCATCACGCGTACTGTGGGTATCTGAATATCTTTTTGTTTCTTCAAATTAAGGAATTGCTCAAAGTTTGTGTTGAAAAGTTTTTGCCTTTGATCGTCACTTAAACCGTCTTGGTGAAGGATGTGCGAGAGTTGAGTATCTTTTTGCATCATGTTCATCGTAATCGGCGAAACTTCAAATTTTTGCTTTTGTTCATATTTATTATAAACGTCTTCAGGTACTAAAATCATTCGCTTGGCATGCTTCATTATTTCAGCAAACTCCCTAGAACGTTCAAAACCGGTGGTAGGAAGGCGCTCAGTAGATTTCCTCCTTTTTGATTTAAAAGTTTTTTCTTTTTAGCTCTTGAAATTCTCTTGTTCGCTAAGGCTCTGAGATGTTTCTTATACCTCAACAAGCGTCGTTTTTGACTCGCAGATATCGGTACAGTTCCTTTTAACACATTAACTGCGCATTCACAAATGCACAACATGACATCAGATGGTCCATGTTCGATGATAACCTTTCGAATTTTCGGCTTAGATTTTGCAAGTACTTGTATGGAAGATTGCTCCTAATTCGTTTAGACATGGTGCTTAAATGATTGTTGATGTCGATGCTTATCACTTATGTACATAGACAATCTGCTTTTCACCGGGCAAGATATTTGTTCTGACACGCATATTGTCAGATGTGAGTTGATGCAAATCGAGCAAAAGATAACCGTAAGGGCGGCATGTGGCGTCTTGAAATGACTCAAAAGGTAATTCGTTTTCTTGGGTACATTTGCCGTGCCAATGTTGCGATACCTAGCGAATCTCTGGGGTTTTTAAAAATGATCATGTAGTGGGAATTTAAGCTGATTGTTCGGGATTGTTTACCAGGCGGAAATAAATTTTGTGTTAGATACATGACAGAGACGCCACGGTGATGTGACCCGCGGGTAAATAAATCGGACATTCGTTGATCGCTAGAACATTCTGACATCAAATCGTCAACGACCACTAAAGAGTTTTGACAACCTTCCAGAATATCAAATAAGTTGTCCGGGAATCCTTCGACGAAGCAAATGTTTGGAATTTTGATTCCATTTCACCAAATTCACTTTGCCGTTCGCCGTAACAGTAAATAATTTTATTCGGAACAGGATAAAAAAGTTCATTTAAATTATAAAGCATCGACCTAACCAAATAGCTTTTGCCCGACTGACTTTGACCACACACATAAAAGTTGGCAGGTGTTCTAAAACGTACGTCCATTGCCTCGCAAATAAAAGCAAACATGCTCTGCTTTCACTTTTATAACCACTCGCGCTAGTAAGCATTTTGACATATTCAAAGAAAGACGGTATGATTCGACTAGCTTGAATGGGAGGTATTTGTAAAATAGTGAACAAAGTGCACACAATAAGAATACATTGGACAATGAACAATTTTTATTAAATATTTTTCTAACTATCTACATCAATCAAACTACAAAAATCTCTTTTGATTACATATGAACACAGCATACTTTAGCAGATATTTATGACAGAAAATCTTAAAAATCACTTAAGGGTTTACTTTAAAATCCTCACAAGCATAGGCATGTCTTTTAATCGTTCATTCATTTTGTAACTACATTCATAGTTCGCAACATTCATAGTTCACAAGAGTTGTTTGTAACTTTTCTAATTTTCCAAAATGAATTCCTTGCTGTCTGTATGTTTTTTCCTTATGGCTGCGTGTGCAAACCACGGTGAAAAATGCGGTTATGTGAAGCGATATCGTATGTTAGATTGTTCTAACATGGATCTGAAGCATGTTCCTATCGGAACGGTAAAAGATGCACGAATACGGATTTTGTCGTTGAAACGAAACAACATTAAAGCTGTGAATGAACTGGATGTTATTCGTGCGTACCCAAGACTTATGTACATTGATTTACGTGAAAACCCTCTGTCCTGTCCTGTCAATTTCTCATTGTTAAATGTGCTGTTTGATCCGTGTCCAGCCCGAAAGAAAGATTTATATTTGTTGTCGGTGAACTCATTTTCGTCTGTGACACAACTTTTTCCGTATACGTCAACCACAAGCAATCGTTTACCTCAGTCATCAGTCAGTTTTTCTCTTCTACCATCGTCGTTGATTATGTCCACCCCATGTAAATCATCTCACGTTCCGTCGTCCCGCCAAAAGTTTTATGTTCGCCCCTCACGGATTTTTTTTTTAACATGTCAACCTCCATTTCAACCACATCACCGTCGCTGTTATTATTGTCTACATCTTTGCTGTTGTCGCCGTCCACGCCGTCAATACCTCCGCATTCAACGATATCATTCTCAACTTCAAAGTCATCACCTCTGCTGTCGTTATTACCACTGTTACCCTCACTATCACCATCAGCATCATCGCCATTTCATTCGCAGCTGTCGTCTTCGTCTTTATCGTTATCACCGTCACTGTCAGAATCAATGGTTTCGTCTTCATCGTTCATGTATTTAGTTCCACCAGCGAAAGAAAAAACTGTCAACTTTTATGTGTTGGTTCCTTCTACGATAGTTTCCATATTTGTCTGTATAATGTTGATGTATTGCATGGTTCGCAATTATCGTCACTGTTTCCCGTCTGTACATACCGATCACATAGAAATGACTGCGTATCGTGTTCAATCATCGTTAGCCTTGTCCAGTGTAGAAATGTGTCAAACAACCTCAGTCTAAAAATATGTATATTTGTTTGTTAGTTTACATTGTCATTGATTCGAAACTGTTTAACTATTCAACGCTGTTTGATTATATGCATGTCACTTTATTAATTTACCTGTCTCGACTCTATACTTGATTATCAATCTGTCTGTAAAACGAAAGTTCATTGTCGGAGTGATCAATGTCGTCAAGAAACTCCACATCGGATTGTCTTTCGGAAAAGCTTTCTTCGTCTTCAGAGTCGGTTTCCATTAAATCAATCGACTCGCTACATTCACCTTGACCTGTCATACATTCTTTGTAATTTTCTAGTGCGGTTGGATGCACGGATGTGAATAAAATATCATTAGCCACGGCTTCGCGTGCGATCTGAGGTAAACTGTTGGAAATTTCCGCTGACGGAAACCAATTATAGCCATAGGGAATGGTATCGGCCCTCCGTCTATTATTATACGTTTGTCAAAGACAACTTGATATTTCTTACTTTGATTTTTATTTACAAGTTTATGCGACCATTTCTCCCTGACTATTTTACTTTCTTCTATTTGTACAGTTGACGGTTTTTCAACATAATTATAAATCATATCTTTTAACGTGTCGAAGTTTAAAAGCAAGCTATTTTTAAAATTCAATGTAAAGCCTCTTATTTTACAGTGTTGCTCGCCATTACTAACTGTAAAAGCATAATTCTTAGGACCCCACAGACAAATTCAGTAATGTGCTCGCCTTCACCAATTTCATCGGTCAAATCTCCTAAATAGTCTCCTAAAGGAGGCTTTGGAGAATCAGGCTTTGCAACATACACACAGCTGTCTGTGTCTGCATAGAGCAAATTTTGTCCTAGTAAATTTAACAAACTGTAGAGCTCCAAACGCGCCCATGCAGTTGTAAAATACCTATAAAATATTTGTTGTTTTATTTTCTTTTGAAACTCCCAATCACGCTTATATACAACTTCGACTAAATCGTCATTCAGTAATTGCATGTCGTGAATTTCAGTGTCTGCACTATTTAGTCGTTTGTAAAATACAAGCGGATCGTGAATAAACTCCGTAATTAACATATCATTACGTTGTGCAAATTTACCCCAAAGCGAGTTTAAACAAAGTTTTGCTAGCGCTCTTAACCCTGGATTTTTCACAATTTTTTCCTTACGCAATAGAATTCCCTCATGCTTTAGATAGTCGTCGATATATTTTGCCCGGTCTGCGTCTGAGTTTACCCAATCCGGAAAGCCCGAAGCTTCTTGTTTCAACCGCAAAAAGAAATTTACATATTCACTAAATAAACTGTCCGATGTTTCTTCAAAATGCCAAATTTCATACACCTCCAAAATTTTGTAGCCTTTTTCGATTGCCTTGTTCATTTCAATGGTCGTAAACGTCCCGCAAAATGAACGCTGGTTTTCGGAATGATGACATTCTACCGAGGCAGTTACAGCACATCGCTTACACAATGGAAACATTAATTTACCATTAACTTTCATCGGGAGCACGGGATGATACAAGCCTGTCGGTGCCAAAACGCGGCACTTAATCAAACCGAAGTAATTTGAAAGATCTTCAAAATTTTTGCGAATAATTGTAGGGTGACCTATAGGATAACGGCGATTTTTCATAACGAATGGATAAAGACTTGTAAAATCGTTATAAAAGATTTTCTCATTTTCTTCGGCCTTACGAAACAGTTTAAAACCCTCAACTCTTCCACCAAAAAAGCTATCGGCAGGGTAAAGGTCTGTTATAAATTCATGTGTGTTTAAAAAAATGCTGCATTTGAGGAGTTTGTCTGAGTTGCTTGAAATCATGCTCCCATATGGTTTTTACTTTATATCCTAACTCCGTTAATCTTTTTTCACGCTCAATGGTTCGGTTATATGCTTCTCTTAGCGTTGTACCTGTACGGTAAGGATTTTCACTCTTCAAATCCAGGCATAAAGGGCAGCCGTGATAAACTTTTCCGTAGAACTCATACACGGTGTTTGTGTCTTCACAAAATCCATCGACATAATAATGTTTGTTTAACAACGGGTCATAAATAACTTTCTCCCCCCCATTATGAAGAGCGTGTTTGATATTGCTTTTTGTTTGAAAGGAAACAAACTCCAGCCACTCAATGGCACTGTTTGAATACGGTTTATTGCTATCACGGTAAAAATTCTTAGGTACAATGCCAATGGTTTTTTCTTTTAAATAGTTTGAACGAAACACTGCCATGACCGAAGACGCAATTGTACAATAACAAAATGGGTCTACATGTGTTTCGGCCAAAAACAACTTTCTGAATTCCATGCAACACAAACGCAAAATAGTTACATCTTGAGAACAGTATTTGTACATTTCTTTTTGAAAGTCGAAAACGTATCCCTCATCAATTAAATTCTGATGCCATGCAATTAGCTCATCTCTTTTACATTTTGACTTTGTGTCGGGGCTATAATATTCAAGAGCCGGAATAGGGCCAACGTATTTCTGATTTTCTCGTGTGTTAAATTTAAAAGGGAAATCGCCTTTCGAATACATCGACAGATCTAATCCAAACGTTCGAGGCAAATCGGAAAGAGGCATACTTAGGAAGTTTAACGAGTCGATTAGCGTCATCTGATAATCTTTTAAAAATAGTTGCATTACTTTCTGACCAGAATGAATGACATGCATATCTGATGTCGGCCGATATTGTATGAGCCATTTTTGAATGATAACAGCGTCAAATCCTTTGGCATTATGGGCAATTGCTGTATAGCCCTTATGCTCTCTTGAAAACAGAAACTCACAAAAATCATTTAACGCATTGTATCCTTTGAAAACACGTTCGTCACCTGAAGCGAACTGTAAAACTGCAAAATTCACAACGTGCTCACCGCTTGTAAAATCCGTTTCAAAATCGTAGAAAATGAGTTTAGCATTTGGCTTTTTTGCTGGTTCGGTTGAATAAAACATAAATGCCCACTAGCAACCAGCTGTTTGCAGATATGACACTTAAATTCTCCGCACTTGTGTTCGTCTTGTCTATTTCTGTTGACAATGACATTGCATGTACGGCATTTATACGTGCTGTCACATTTTGAGGGAAGATCAAGTCCTTTTAATCTACGTTGTTTTTTATGTAGGTTGTAACATGCATTTGACCGGCATGACTTATAACAGTCCGAGCATTCCCGCTGTTCCGTCGGAATTAATGCACATCCTTTGCGTAAACATGTGCTGCAGACATCAAAACATGGGTGATTAATATAGTAGTTTACAAAGCTTGAACAATGTTCACAGTAAAATCTTTTACCGAAAAAAGCTGGGAGCTTTGCCGGATTGATAACATTGAAATGATCTCCGTGTTTGTATAGCAATAACTTCTTTACTCTTTTAGGCCCTTCATAAATTGAAGTGTTTCGTGCATCAAAGTCTATTACAATAATTTGATAGTCTGAAAGAACACCTTGAAACTTTGAAATTTCCCTCAATCCACATTTACCAGGCAAAATATTGGCACGTTTATGCAACTTTAAGGCTAATTTTTTTTGTATAGGTCTACCCATCTTCATTTGTTTTAATTTTGGATGGTGGTCAGCCATCCCTATGGCTACAACTAAAGCCCGAGCACAACATAGGTTATCATTATTCTTGATAGTTACAATCGATTTTTTTAAAGTACTGTCTTTAGAGTAATCTAAGACTTTGAGGGCCTTACCACTCCCAACAGGCGCTTTTACACCAATAAGGTCGATGATAAACGAGTTGTCCAAAGGAATCTTCTCATTACTCTGCAAAGTTTTGTAATTTCACCAAAATTCTGTTAGAGTTAATTTCAGCGGCAGGAAGAAGCTTAGTGCTGATTGGTGTTTTCAAAGCATCCGATCTAATCATTACACGAAGCCGATCTTCCAATGGTGTTCTAAAATCACACTGTTCTTTTACCTAGGAACATTAATATAAAAATTAAAAAGATGCTTTGTGTCACACAGCGCTTTTTTCACTCTCACCTGACGAATGGCGTCGTCAAACAAGCCATCGAGCTCAGTCATTATGTCTTTGACTTTTATTTGCTTATCGCGAACGGATAGATCGTCTAACTTAGCACGGAATATACACGACTTGGCGCCAAATTTACGAACATATCGTTCCGAAACTTTTTCAAGCACAAAGTTAACAGATTTTTCATCATTTTTAGTTTGATTTTTTATGTTGTTTCTTTCTTCCACAAGTCCAGCACTTTGCTGCAACAACTTCGTTGATTTTTTTACCCATTTTAACACTTTTGAAATATCCGTTTTATCTTTAGAGATTTCTTTCTGAACTTTTTTCAGCAAACGTTTTGCCTTTACATTTTTTCTGATGGCTCGAACACGTAAACGCTCTAGATACTCTTTTTCTCCCATGATCATCTGGCGATGATTTTCATGCAGTAATGGCAATTTGTGAAATCATGCTTCATTTTATAGTATATGTTCATTGAACTCCTACAGAGTAATTGAATACTTACAAACAGACAGCATATTCAGGTGTTCAGGAAGGTATTGTATGTGTAATGAACAAACACTCACAGCGACACATTAAAAAAATTTATTGCGTGAATTTTTTATAGTTAGATACAGTGATCAACCATTCGTGCATGCCTTGTTGTTATTGCTTAACGTTTCGTGTTTATTCATCGTCCTGGAATGGGTGGGTTCTTTTTTTCTGTTTCTTAACGGCGACCGTTTTAGGTTCCTTTTCTTTAGGCTCTTTCCTCTTACGGTCATTCAGTTCGACCTTTCTTTTTTTCATAATGATCTTGCTATTCATAGTCGCGTCGCCCCAATGGAAGAAGCTACATTTTTCTCCGTCGACGATAGATTGACAACGAAAATAGGGTCTTTCAGGGTTATTGCTCGATTGGGAGACCATGAGACTACCTGGATAACCGCATTTGCACAGGGGGAACTTGTTTGGTTTGAATTCTTTCGCGACTTTCGTTTCGTAGGCATCCATTATATTATGGTACCTTTCTTCGGGGCAGAACAATGTGCATCCTTCACCTCTACATTTAACATACGCTTGTTCGTTCTTCTTAGACACGATTCTCTCGAGGCCTGCACCACAGAAACATGGATATTTCTCAATGGAAACCATGATGTTCAAATTATTTGCTTTCCTAACACTGATTTAACACGTTTATGAAGCACTGTTCAAGTTGTGTGTGCAACAAGAACATTTTCCACCTTTTTTAAAGTGTTGGCCTTCACATGAATGATCATTTACCAACGCATGATTTTCTTTAAAGAAGAATAGGTCTCATTCATACTGGGAGTAAAGAATTGAATAGAATCACATTCAAGTGTAAGACTCACGCTTGTTCAAATCAGTAACCCCTGTTTGGTACATTGTTTGATATCTTTCCTGAGGGTCTCATCATTAATTAACTGCATCACTTTCCTCTGTATGATACCCTCCCACAC